TACACACTCACTGACACACACTCGCTAACACACATTCACTGACACACACTCACTAACACACACTCACTAACACACACACTCACTGACACACACTCACATATACACACTCACTGACACACACTCACTAATACACACTCATGGACACACACTCGCTAATACACACTCATTAACACGCATACAGCCAACACACAAAGACAAAGATCCCCCGTATATCATTCAACAGACTTTTGGGGCAAGTGCTGTTAGCGAGTAGCAGCGCCTACGAAGGTCGGCACTGTGACACACGAGGGGGGATGGGTGGAGCAGCACAACACACGGCCGCCTTTGTCACAACAAATGCAACGATCCCCCTGTATAGCCTTAACAGGCTTTTGGGGGCAAGTGCTGCTCGCGAGCACCCACGAAGGCCGGCACCGTGGCACACGAGGGGGTGGACGGCCAACACCACGCCCGGCCGCCTCAGTCACCCGACACACATCCACACGCGAGCACAGGGGGCGGAGGGAGGGAGGGGGCTGGGGGATGGGGGGGGGGTAAGAGAGGCGTTTGCTGACGGCCGCGTGCCACGAGGTGTCGAGACAAAGCGTCACGAAGCGACCCGCGCATAAAGGCCGGATCGTGACCTCTGAACCGCGGGAGGCCACCAGATGCGAGCGATCGACTCGTAGCGACAGTCAAAGTCACTCGGAGGATTTTGTCATTTCTCCGCGCGATGATATTCAGACTATTAATTTTGTCGCCGTTACCATTGAGAGCTGTAGGGTAAAGGGGCGGGCCTGCATGCAGTTGCCACGCTTCACGACACTGCAGAAATGCCTGCGCAGTGGGCAAATGGGTGGCCCAGTGGTGGAGCGAGCGAGCGAGTGGCTCGCAGCAATCTCAAGGCTACGAGATGATGTCGTGGCTGTAGAGGTTGACTCAGCCCATCATCATCATCATCTCTACCTTCCTCCCGGGTCGATAAATCGGCACCAACTTGTACGGGGGAAGTGGTTGTCTCGTGGTAAAAAAAAAACATCGAAACGCACCACCCCCCTTCCTCCCCCACATCCTCGCCATAGGAATGTGGAATTTCCAGTAATGGCTCTGTAGAGCTGTAAATAATAAATGACGACTGATGCTTTAATTGTTTGACATATAATGTTCGTTCGTTGGTAAAAAGAAAATCGTTGGTAAACATTGGCTATTACTCACGCGTAACATCACACAAATACAAAGATCCCCCGTATAACCACGACCCACATTTGGGGCAAGGGTTGTTCGCGAGCACATGTGAAGGACGGCACGGCAGGCACACGTCGGGGTGCATGGACGGATTTTTACACACAGCACCAGATACTCATTTAAGGCTGCGTCGACCTCAGGGAAAGCCAAGGTAGGACCTGTTCCGAAATTCATCACTGATGGCGGACGTGAGCGGGAATCGAACTCAGGTTCCCAGGTTCAGAGCATAGTGGGATAACCATTGCGCCACCGCACCCCCTAACTAAATGCAAATATCCCCGCATAGCCTTCAACAGACTGTTGGGGCAAGTGTTGTTAGCGAGCACACGCACGGACACACACACTGACACCTCTCTCCCCCGTGCCTCGCCTGATCAATCCTCCCACCGCCTCGAGCCCCCACGTTCCGTCGCACAGACCCCCAGGACAGGCTGGAAAGAAGTCGGTTCAATAAAAATTCAATTCCTCCGGGTGGGAAGGGGGCTGAGATCCTACAGCTGAGTGTGCGGGTGTCCGTGTGGATGTGTAGTGGTTAGCGCGCCGCCCTACCAATCCGGCGACCCGGGTTCGATTCCCGCTCACGGCCACCAACACCGGTGACGATTATCTGAATTAGTCCTGGGCCTCCCCTTGGTCGACTCAGCCTAAAATCATCAGAACTTGGGGAGACAAAGGCGGCCGGCCGTGGCGTTGTCCACTCACTCCCTCGTGAGCCGTGCCAGCTTTTATGGGTGCTGCTCGCTGGCAGCACTTGCCCCAACATTAAGTAAAGGGTTATACGGGGGAACTTTGTCTCTTGTACGCATGTGCATACGCATGCCAGTATATAATAGTCGTGGTGATTTATAGCGGTGTGTTAAGTCACTGTTGGATGAATTGCTTCCCTCAAACGGTCGCCACCGCCTCCTCCTCTCACAGTCGACCCCTGCGATGATGATGATGATGAGGATGATGATGAGGAGGATGTTGATGATGAGGAGGATGATGATGAGGATGATGATGAGAATGATGATGAGGATGATGATAATGAGGATGATGATGATGATGAGGATGATGATGAGGATGATGTTGATGATGATGGTGATGATGATGATGATGAGGCTGATGATGATGATAATGAGGATGATGATGATGATGATGAGGATGATGATAACGAGGATGATGATAACGAGGATGATGATAATGAGAATGATGATGATAATGAGGATGATGATGAGGATGATGTTGATGGTGATGGTGATGATGATGATGAGGATGATGATGATGAGGATGATGATGAGGATGATAATGAGAATGATGATGATAACGAGGATGATGATGAGGATGATGATGATGATGATAATGAGAATGATGATGATAATGATGATGATAATGAGGATGATGATGAGGATGATGATGATGAGGATGATGATGATGATAATGAGGATGATGATGAGGATGATGATGATGATGAGGATGATGTTGATGATGATGGTGATGATGATGATGAGGCTGATGATGATGATAATGAGGATGATGATGATGCTGATGATGATGGGGATGATGATGATGATGATGGTCACCCGCCCGCAGAACGCCGAGACGCGACCGCATTCCATCGCGCTCCACCTCCGCGTTGGAGGCCCTTCTCAGGAGCGTTCCCTCTCAATTTGGCTGCCGGCGAAGGCACCCGGACTGGCCATAGCGGCCATCGAGGGGCAGCAGACCGCGGGGCAGCAGACCGGCTGGGTCCGGTCCATTCCGAGGGGCCGGTGGGGGGCCCGGCCTGTGTGGGGGAATTGCAAAAATGTGACCAGGGTCAAATGTTTTATATACATATTTCAGAACGTCTAATGAAGTGTTTTTCTTCTTAACCTGGGGTGCACGCCACTACCTCCCCTCCCCCTTTCCGGAGGATACGAGATATCATGGCCAGATGTTTTTGTTGAAGGTAAATCATGTAAACACACAACTTAAGCACGGACACGCAAGTACAACTCGCTGTTTCATAAAACCCGAAGCATTTATTAACATTGTACAAGAAGATCAAGTTTACGGTTGAGAGCCCAAAGGGGTTCACGTCTGCAGTGAAGGTTAAGAACTATTGCTCTCACGTGTACGCGCTCGGTTGGCATGAAGTCCCCATATTCGGCAGCCCCAAACATTCATCCTCATCGAAACCCTATATATATTTTTTACCAACCCCAAATAGGGCCGATTTGAGAGAATCGCACGCCAATTCGGGCCCGCTGTGTTCACACAAATGCCTGGGCCAAGTTATTGTTTTCAAGTCCCGGTCCATTACTGGCTGCCCCTCCGATATCATCATCATCATCATTCTAGATTAATTCCCCACCAATCATCATCCTCCCCCCCCTCTCTCCGTTCCAGGAGCAAGTCCCTCGTACATCAGGAAGGTGCCAGCAGTGTAGCTCGACACGCATATTAAAAACTCTCCATCAAAAGGTTCGCATCGGCGCTAAGCGCACCGCGTGTCAGCAGCACGAGCGTACGAGCGGCGGGCTGCTGCAAAGGCAAAGGCGCAGGCATGCAACTGCTCGCTCTTGAGCCAGCACGCTGCGGAGGCCTCTTAGGGCAGCCAGGACGCTGGCTGGTTGTAAGAGGCCCTCTGCTCAGTAGCAGTGGGGGAGGGGGAGTTGGGGGTCAGCAACTAAAATAAGAAGGCAGCAGACATCGTTGATGCTCGCAGCAGACACCGCGGCTATCGCGATATTCACCTGAAGATGGGCGCTTGTGTTGCGTTCGAAACGTCGTGACTTATTTTGTTTTATTTATACCTACGTTACTTTACCGAAAGAGCCAAAGAGTAAGAAGAAGAGACGTTTCTTTTCCGAATCCGGTAAAACAACAACAACAACAACAACAAAAAGAAAAGCCTCAATATGTATTCCTAGAGCATCCGTAGTGCACTGTGGGTGAGTGCGAGACGGGACGGGGGTTCTTCCATGAAGAACGACCACAAAGCGGTCCCGAGTGAGCCGCATGAAGCTTCAGAGCCGCAGGCTGCCGAGACCTGATTTAGAGGGAGCTCGAGAGAGAGAGAGAGCTTCTCTATAGACCAGTGGGTGTTTTGGCCTACTCTTCCACACTGGCCAGAAAGTCACGCACGAGGGTGCCCACACTTTTAACGCGCAACACGCTCGTTCTCGCTAACAGCACTCGCCCCAATAGCCTATGGAGGCTACACGGGGGATCTTTGTCGTTATGACTGAGCCGTGTGATATATATGTGTGTGTGTGTGAATATGTCCCTTTTGTAATTGTGATTCCGTTCCCGAAGTTCGCCCGTGATGTGGATGCGCGCGCGGGCGAGCGAGGGCAGAGTCACGAGCGGTGGCGCAGCGGTTAGCGCACTGCGCTGCAAACCCGGCCACACGAGTTCGATTCCCGCCCACGACGAATAATAAAGTTGAGCCGTTCCTGGGCCACCTCCCCTAGGGTCGACTCAGCCTTAAATGAGCACCTGGCGCGGTGTGTAAAACATTAGCACTGGAGAGACAAAGGCGGCCGGGCGTGGTGTTGGCCACCCACCCACCGCCGCGTGCCATGCCGGCCTTCACAGGTGCTACTCGCCGACAGCACTTGTCCCAACAAGTATGTTGAGGCTATACGGGTGATCTTTGTATTTGTCTTTGCGTGTTTTTAATTAACGACAAATGAATGGGGTCTTCCGATGCCTTAATTCCATCGTTCTGGCTCATTCAGCCACCTGCCTGTCGAATTCACTGCCCCCGCCCTCCATAGTGGAGGCTGGGCAAATCATCAGCCTATAAAAGCCGCAAAGATTCCGTGTTCCACCACGTGCAGACCGCGCGGGTGTAGCCTTCAGCAGACTCTCTCTCTTGCTCTTCCATACACACACACGGCATATGCAGAATAGACATTACACACATACGCACGTAGAGACAGCTAATGCTATATACGTGTATATATAGAGACGCGTACTGATAAATAGCGCTAGACGTTCACACACACAGACAAACTATACAGACACGTTTAGACAAGTTTAGGCGAGCACACCACCGCATATACGCACACACGCACAGGCAAATATAAGTCACACGTTTACACACATCCTGAATATACAAAAATATAGATATACAGAGACGTACACACATATATAATATACCATATACACGTACAATTATACACACATCAGTATACACGCAGAGAGAAAGATCCCCCGTATAGCCTGAAGAACACACACACACACTTCAACACAAACCTATATACATCCTTGCCCAGCTCTCTCCTCCGTCTTCTCAGACAGGTATTTCACGCCTATCAGGTTATTTATTATATTAACATATCGGGGCCCCGCGCTATTGCGCATTGATCAAAGGCGCTCATTAATTATTGACGAACGCGTTTAGTGTTTTTTTAGCGCTTGTGCATTACTGCCAGCGCATGCGTTTAATTCTGTCTGTAGGAGCTTAAGAACCGCCGGTTGGAAAGACAAACAAACTCGTGTTCATCTAAACGAACAGTTATTATTGTTAATTTAGCCTGTTTCTAAATGACCCCACACGTCACCCGTGATGTCCATGAATCCCACTGTAATTCCGTAAATCGCTCTGTAAGGTTCGCAGGTCTCGGTGTGAGTCCACATCTGTTGACGGGGGTTGTTGTGCACGTATGGGGATTCCTATGTAAGTTCACTTTCCTCTGTATGCCAGTGCGAGTCTCTGTGTAAGTTTAAGTGCGTCTCTATCCGAGTCTGAGTCCCTGCGTAAGGTTACTTTCGTTTATATGCAAGCGTGAGTCTCTATGCAAGTGTAGGTAAGTCTCAATGCGAGTCTGCGAGTTTCTGTGTAAGTTTACTTAAGTCTACATGCAAGCATGTGAGTCTCTTTGTAAATGCAGGCAGGTCAATATCCAGGGCCGTGTTTATCTACACAAATTTGTACGTCTATATGTCAGAAGCAGTTAAAATGTAGTTTGTTGTATACAACATCCATCTTTGTCTCATTTCACGATATACACCATCTCATTTGGCTCTTACATCTCTCAATGTATCCATCCGTGTACGAACCTAGGCACGTGTATGGGAAGCGGTAGTGTAGCGGTAAGCGTGCTGTGCTACGAACCCGGCGACACGAGTTCGATTTCCGCTCACGGCCACCAACACGAGTGACAATTATCTGAACTGGTCCTAGACCTCCCTTCGGTCGACTCAGCCTCAAATGAGTCGGTAGCCAACATCAAAACCATTCTAGATTTGAAGTTTTCGTGACTGCAAGGATCCATAATCTTGGTTCTTTCGGCAAAGTCGCGTAGGTAAAGAAAATAAAAATGAAATAAAAGAAAAAAAAATCACGACGTTTCGCTTGCAACACAAGCAATCATCATCAGGAGTGAAAATCACAGCTATGTGTTTTTTACTAAATTGGGAGAAATGCAACATGAAAACCATCCGGGCCATCTACCCCCTCGTGTGCCGTGTCGGTCTTCATAGGGTGCTACTCGCGAACGGCACTTGCCCCCAACAGTCTGTTATGGCTACAGGGGAGATCGTTGTATTTGTCTTTGGTTGTTGGTGGTTGTTGGTGGTGGTTGTTGGTGGTTGTTGGTTGTTATTATTGGTGGTTGTTGATGGTTGTTGGTGGTTGTTATTGTTGGTAGTTGTTGGTGGTTGGTGGTTATTGTTGGTGGTTATTGTTGGTGGTTGGCGGTTATTGTTGGTGGTTGATGGTTGTTGTTGGTGGTTGTTGTTGGTGGTTGTTGTTGGTGGTTATTGTTGGTGGTAATTGTTGGTGGTAATTGTTGGTGGTTGTTGTTGGTGGTTGTTGGTTGGTGGTGGTTGTTGTTGTTGGTGGTTGTTGTTGTTGTTGTTGGTGGTTGTAAACGCCCTGAAGTTATACATAACAAGTTATACCCCCCCCCCAACCTCCTCCCTACCTTCGGACATTCGCGCTCAGCACCATGGACAGCGCCCGCCGCGCCCCCGCCGTGCCGCTGCCGTGGCAGCCGGCGCCGCCGCCGCCGCCGCTGCCGCCGCTGCTGCTGCTGCTGTCGGCGCTCCTGCTGCTCTGTAGCAGCTCGCTGTGCGGACTCGCGCGGGCCGAGTCGACACAGCTCGAGTCGCGCTCCTTCGAGGAGTTCCCCGCCAAGGACTTGGACGCGTCTCACGAGAAGGAACTGGTGAGAGGGGAGGGGATGGCCGGGGAGGGGATGGAGGGGAGGGGATGGAGGGGAGGGGAGAGGAGGAGAAGGGAGAAAGGGAAGAGGAGGGGAGAGGGGAAGGGAGGGGAAGGGTGGAGGAGGGGGGTAAGAGGGGGAGGAGAGTGGAGGGAGGGGAGGGAGGGAGGGAGGAGAGGAGAGGGGAGGAGAGAGAGGGGAGGAGAGGAGAGGGGAGGAGGGAGAGGGGAGGGGAGAGGAGGAGAGGGAGAAGAGGGAGAAGAGGGGAAGGGAGGGGAAGGGTGGAGGAGGGGGGTAAGAGAAGGAGGAGAGGGAGGAGGAGAGGGGAGGAGAGAGATGGGAGGGGATAGTGGATCTGTATGTAATATTGAAAGATTCAACACGTTCACTGATACCATGTGACCTTCGAAACTACTAAACTAAACTTTGTTTTTTTTTTAGTTTTACCATAACTTAAAGCTTTCGCGACTGCAGGAATTCATATTCTTGGGTCTTTCGGTAAAGTCACCGAGCTAGGTTCAAAGAAAATAACAGGAAACAACAAACAAAAAAATGATACGACGTTTCGATCGCAACACAAGCAATCGTCATCGGGAGAAAAAATATGGGGAAAGCTGTTGAAGCAGGCTGTTTTAAAGGTTTGAAATGGGGTCATGTAGCCCAAGGGTCATGAAGCGGTGGGCGGGCCTAGTGCCTTCTAAGACGAAGGTACTTTGCAAGCCCACTGGCTATCAACAAAGGTTCGTTCATGAAGCCATCCACATGTATAGACACAATTTCAGCCGAGGAGATGGGCACAAATTGAACAATCATTGGAAGGACGTTATTAAGCAGTTTAAGTCATAACTGGCTGTGATGTTTCCATCCTACCTTCCGATGTTAGTAGTTATTTTCGACTCTTTGATTTTACATTAACGGGTTAAATGTCTTAACATTACCTGGTTAAATGTCTTTACATTTACAGGTTAAATGTCTCACTAACACAGCCACCGTTACTCTTTGCCTCGATGTGGCGGTGGCTCTGCGATCTTACATTGACATGCAAATTTCTCACTTTAACATCACTAGCCACGCCCACTTCGCTTATGACCCTTGGGCTACACCCATGTCAAACCTTGTGTTGCGATCGAAACGTCGTAGTTTTTGTTGTTGTTATTTTATTTGAACCTATCTACGTGACTTTACCGAAAGACCCAAGAATATTTGTTTTACCAGGTAAGGCTCGCTGAGCTGCGATCTAGCTCTGTTTTTTTTTCAGAAGCGACGAGGCTCATCACAAATGATAGCTCAACGAAGTGGCTTATCATCACGTGGACATTTATAGCAGCCAAAGCCTCTCACTGCACGTTGCTACACGTGGAGGGCAAAACCCGGAGGACCCGGAGAAAAATCCACGTGGCCACACAAAGAGAGAGAGACACGCAGACTCCAAATATACAGCAGCAGCAGGCGTAAGGGTTGGGATCGAACCCACGACCTCCTGTAGACCAGGCGAGGTTGTTAAGATCTCCCAGCCACCGTGATGATGATGAGAGAGAGACACGCAGACTCCAAATATACAGCAGCAGGCGCAAGGGTTGGGATTGAAGCCACGACCTCCTGTAGACCAGGCGAGGTTGTTAACATCTCCTCGCCACCGTGGCGTCCTTTAATGGGAAACGCGGTGGCGAGATGTTAACTACCTCGCCTGGTATACAGGAGGTCGTGCGTTCGATCCCGATTCCAAATATACGCCTGTTGTAAAATATACGCCTGTTGTATATTCGGAGTTCGCGTGTCTCTCTCTCTCTCTGTCTCTCCCGTGGTCGCGTGGATTTTTCTCCGGGTCCTCCAGTTTTCCCCTCCACATTTGGAATGAACATCACCACGTGTTCAGAGTCATGTTTGCTGCGATACATTTTCACGCGATGATGGTAAAAGCCCACTCCGTAGAGCTTTCATTTGTGACTGCCAGGTCGCTTCATAAATAAAGCGATACAACTTGGTGGGGCCTTACCTAGTAAAATAAAAAAAATATCTATTGTTTAGTTTTTTTTTTTTAATATATAATAGGCAACGTTTTGGGCAACGACCCTCCTTCAAAGCACGTCAAATGTTACGCAATAATAATTTGCAACGTTGCGCTACGAACGCGGTGACCTGAGAGTAGCTGGTGCGATGTGTAAATATCGTCCCCGGGGAGACAAAGGCGCTCGGGCGTGGTGCTGGCCCCCTCGTGTGCCGTGCCGGTCTGAATGGGTGCTGCTCGCTAACAGCACTTGCCCCAACAGTCTATCAGTGGCTATACGGGGCATCTTCGTCTTTGTTTGCTCTTTCCACAGTTGGACGCATTGCAGAGTGTGCTGGAAAAGCTTCAAAACAAGAGGATGCCCAGCTGGGAGAAAAAATACGGACAGCTTCCCATCGTGAGACACCAATCGCGGCAACTCACACGGGACACAGTACCCTGGGCGACACTGCCGCTGAAGTTGTTGCGTTGGCAATGGCCCACAAGCACAGACAAACAAAAAACAAACAAACTCAACACCTTCGTCGGTAACCTGGGGATGCTGTGGCTCTTGGGCTGCCGCATTGCGGGCAGCCGGTAAAAAAAAAAAAACCTCAACATTTATTTAGAATCAAGATGAATCGATTACGTACGGCAGGGGCGGGGGTCACTGTGTAATGTCTTGGTGGCAACAACATTACACAACAGTCAAACTGCGCATTGTTAAATAATAACTAAGGAGGGGCGGGGGGGGGGAACTAAAGAGACGCAGTTTATTCCATTACCTATTTTGTTTATTTAAGTTAGAATGTGTTGTTGTCGTTGTTGTTGTCTTGCTCTATAGCCACTTGTGTGTGTACAAGTTGTTCTGCCTGTGTGGTGCGGTTCTCCCGAACTAGTTTAGTCAAAGACAAAATCACTAAACAATGCCTCTCACTTCTTCTGCTTGGAAAGTTCGTCGACCCCTCGTCTATAATAACACTGCGCGTCTGACCTTAAAATGACAAATATATAATAGGCGACGTTTCAGTCAATGGCCCTTCTTAATGTGCCGCGAAAATAAATAAACAAATAGCCGACGTTTCGGGCAATGGCTCTTGTTTATGTGCTGGGAAAAAAAAGATGCATCGCCCGAAACGTCGCTTTATTTTTCTTTTTAACACGCATTTGAATCCGCTCATGAAAAGCAGCGACGTACCGTTTGCCTCGAGGAGAGACGATTTCGTTATCAGCCTCGACACACGCGTTCAACAGAAAGTGACTCTTTGCAGGGAAAATAGGCAGCGCCACAGTGCACGAGATGTTAACTACCTCGCCTGGTTTACAGGAGGTCGTGGGATCGATCCCGACCCTGATGCCTGCTGAATATTTGAAGTTTGCGTGTCTCTCTCTCTCATCATCACCACAGTGGCTAGGATATGTTAACTACCTCGCCTGGTATACAGGAAGTCGTGGGTTCGATCCCGACCCTGACGCCTGCTGCTGTATATTTGGAGTTTGCGTGTCTCTCTCTCTCTCTCATCATCACCACGTGTTTAGAGTATTTGGCTGCTCTACATTTCCCCTCGACAAGCGTCTTTGTTGAGCTATCGAGGTCGCTTCTCAAAAAGAGCTACATAGCTCAGCAGGCCTTACCTAGCAATAAAATAAAGTTCATTTGAGATGCATTTGCTTACACCGTAGTTATTTTGCTGACCTTTAATATACTTTGCACTCCTATCGGGGTTTTTTTTCTCTCCTCCCAGTATTGTTGTTGTAACTTTGTGACCCGCCCCTACTGGACATCTGTAAAAACAGAAAAACAACGAAGCTTCATAGCTCATCGGATTTCTCCAGGATACAAAAACAATTTCTGATCCCCCCACCCCTCTCCCACCCCTCCCCTCCCTCGCCCCCCCCCCTCCCCCCCCCGTGCCAGTGCGATGCCGGCGAGTGGTGCGCAGTCCGCAAAGGGGCTCGCATCGGGAAGTTGTGCGACTGCACCCGTGGCACTTCCTGCAACTCGTTCCTGCTCAAGTGTCTGTAGAGGACACGGCGGGGTGGGTGGTGGGCTCCGGGTTCGAGTTGCGGGGTCAAGGGGCTCAAGGGCGCCTGCCCCGCCACTCCCCCCCCCCGCCACCCCCCCACCGCGTTTGGCCACCCGCTGTGTCGCCAGACGCCACGGATTTCACCAGATTCAACAACTCGCTCGCTCGCCCGCTCACCACCGTCGCAGCGGATCCAGCCGACAATAACACGGTCGTCCATCGCCAACAGCATCGTCATCATCATCAGCATCATCATCATCATCACAATTACTGCCATCAGCAAAACCGCTCAACCGTGAAACAGTTGATTTCGCTAAAACCCAATATCGCTACCGTTATCATAGTGACCTCGTCGTCATCATCATTGTTGTCACCAAATACCAGAGGGTAATTAGTAATTAATCAACAGCCACCACTCACTACCAACACAGTTGATAATGCTAATACAGCACAAATGTCTCTAACATTACCACTATCATCACAAATCGTCATGACAGCTATTATAATCACCGCCACCACCACCACTCACAGCTAACACAGCTGCTCACATCATTAATGCCATCATCGCCATCATCACAAACAAATACCACCGACACCGATACGGCGGGCAAATAACAATACCAATGCCACTGCCATTCTCGCCAATGTCAGCATCATCAACAATTATAATCGCCAACATCTTCATCACCACCACCACCACAAACACAACAATGAATGCTCCCACTCGCCACTGATACACCCGATGAATACTGACACCAACACCGCATCATCATCATTATGATCACAACCATCAACAGCTAACCACGCACTACTGATACACTACCAATGACGCTCCCATCAGCATCATCATAGTCACCGTTATAAAAAACATCAGTCACTTCCATCAACGATACCACTGATACCAATGGTATCACACCACCATTACCAGCAATCGCGCTTACCTCCCGTCTCAAACCGACATTCCACCAGGCTTTTCACGTCACACAAACACCCAGGAGTCGGATTGCTCCCTGCAATGGGAATGTATTTGCGTACAACAACAAAAGCGATTGCAGCGGTTGTTCTAGTCACGTAGCATGCCGCATAATCACAGCGTACACTCTTTAAAAGTTACAACATATTATTATTGATTTGTTCTTATTGCTAAATGGATAACGTTATTGTCCTAAGAACCCACTAATATAACAAAGGAGTATTACCAATTAAGTGTCATGTATCTATTATCCTGATAGTTTAAGATTGTCTAGAGACCGCATTAGAGACCCGGTCTCCTAGTCCATCACTTTTTAGAGACCCCATCAGAGACCCGATCTCCTAGTCCATCACTGTCTAGAGATCCCCATCAGAGACCCGGTCTCCCAGTCCATCACTGTCTAGAGATACCCATCAGAGACCCAGTCTCCCTGTCCATCACTGTCTAGAGATCCCCATCAGAGACCCGGTCTCCCAGTCCATCACTATCCAGAGATCCCCATCAGAGACCCGGTTTCCTAGTCCATCACTGCCTAGAGACCCCCATCAGAGACCCGGTCTCTTAGTCCATCACTGTCTAGAGACCCCAATCAGAGACCCGGTCTCCCAGTCCATCACTTTCTAGAGACCCCATCAGAGACCCGGCCTCCCAGTCCATCACTGTCTAGAGATCCCATCAGAGACCCGGTCTCCCAGTCCATCACTGTCTAGAGACCCCAATCAGAGACCCGGTCTCCCAGTCCATCACTTTCTAGAGACCCCAATCAGAGACCCGGTCTCCTAGTCAATCACTGTCTAGAGACCCCATCAGAGACCCGGTCTCCCAGTCCATCACTGTCTAGAGATCCCATCAGAGACCCGGTCTCCCTGTCCATCACTGTCTAGAGATCCCATCAGAGACCCGGTCTCCCTGTCCATCACTGTCTAGAGACCCCATCAGAGACCCGGTCTCCCAGTCCATCACTGTCTAGAGACCCCATCAGAGACCCGGTCTCCCTGTCCATCACTTTCTAGAGATCCCATCAAAGACCCGGTCTCCTAGTCCATCACTGTCTAGAGACCCCATCAGAGACCCGGTCTCCCTGTCCATCACTGTCTACAGACCCCATCAGAGACCCGGTCTCCCAGTCCATCACTGTCTAGAGATCCCATCAGAGATACGGTCTCCCAGTCCATCAATGTCTAGAGATCCCCATCAGAGACCCGGTCTCCCAGTCCATCACTGTCTAGAGATCCCCATCACGGACCCGGTCTCCTAGTCCATCACTGTCTAGAGAACCCATCAGAGACCCGGTCTCCCAGTCCATCACTTTCTAGAGATCCCCATCAGAGACCCGGTCTCCCAGTACATCACTGTCTAGAGACCCCATCAGAGACCCGATCTCCTAGTCCATCACTGTCTAGAGATCCCCATCAGAGACCCGGTCTCCCAGTCCATCACTGTCTAGAGATCCCCATCAGAGACCCAGTCTCCCAGTCCATCACTGTCTAGAGACCCCATCAGAGACCCGGTCTCCCTGTCCATCACTGTCTAGAGATCCCCATCAGAGACCCGGTCTCCCAGTCCATCACTATCCAGAGATCCCCATCAGAGACCCGGTCTCCTAGTCCATCACTGTCTAGAGACCCCCCATCAGAGACCCAGTCTCTTAGTCCATCACTGTCTAGAGATCCCATCAGAGACCCGGTCTCCTAGTTCATCACTGTCTAGAGATCCCCATCAGAGACCCGGTCTCCTAGTCCATCACTGTCTAGAGACCCCATCAGAGACCCGGTCTCATAGTCCATCACTGTCTAGAGACCCCCATCAGAGACCCGGTCTCCCAGTCCACCACTGTCTAGAGACCCCATCAGAGACCCGGTCTCATAGTCCATCACTGTCTAGAGACCCCCATCAGAGACCCGGTCTCCCAGTCCATCACTTTATAGAGACCCCATCAGAGACCCGGTCTCCCAGTCCATCACTGTCTAGAGATCCCATCAGAGACCCGGTCTCCCTGTCCATCACTGTCTAGAGATCCCCATCAGAGACCCGGTCTCCCAGTCCATCACTTTCTAGAGATCCCATCAGAGACCCGGTCTCCCAGTCCATCACTTTCTAGAGATCCCCATCAGAGACCCAGTCTCCTAGTCCATCACTCTCTAGAGATCCCATCAGAGACACGATCTCCTAGTCCATCACTGTCTCGAGACCCCCATCAGAGACCCGGTCTCCCAGTCCATCACTTTCTAGAGATCCCATCAGAGACCCGGTCTCCTAGTCCATCACTGTCTAGAGACCCGGTCTCCCAGTCCATCACTGTCTAGAGACCCCATCAGAGACCCGGTCTCCCTGTCCAACACTTTCTAGAGATCCCATCAGAGACCCGGTCTCCTAGTCCATCACTGTCTAGAGACCCCATCAGAGACCCGGTCTCCCCGTCCATCACTGTCTAGAGACCCTATCAGAGACCCGGTCTCCAAGTCCATCACTGTCTAGAGACCCCATCAGAGACCCGGTCTCCCTGTCCATCACTTTCTAGAGACCCCATCAGAGACCCGGTCTCCCTGTCCATCACTTTCTAGAGATCCCATCAGAGACCCGGTCTCCTAGTCCATCACTGTCTAGAGACCCCATCAGAGACCCGGTCTCCCAGTCCATCACTGTCTAGAGACCCGGTCTCCCAGGCCATCACTTTCTAGAGACCCCATCAGAGACCCGGTCTCCCAGTCCATCATTGTCTAGAGATCCCCATCAGAGACCCGGTCTCCCAGTCCATCACTGTCTAGAGACCCCCATCAGAGACCCGGTCTCCCAGTCCATCACTGTCTAGAGATCCCATCAGAGACCCGGTCTCCTAGTCCATCACTTTCTAGAGATCCCCATCAGAGACTGGTCGGTCTGAGCGTTAATTTCACCTTACATCAAAATAGATTTTTCGACATTTAAAAAGATACGCGATTACACACATCGTGCAGTGATAGTGCGTTTTTAGTGACTCACAAGCCCACATAACAACACCAACAACTCAACACATTCATCAATAATACTTTTGCCTTAACAGTCCAGAAAATATATAATAATGTGCCATGAAGAAGCGATATTGGCGGAAAGATCCCCTATGTTTACTTTTTAAGGCCACCCACAGTGTTATGGGACCAGTGTGTTGAATCATTTCACATTAATTATGGACACGATAAATTGTTAATCATTAATAATACTGATGATAAACCATCATTAACATTTACAAAAAACACGTGTCTGCAGACGAGATGGCTAGTCTCAGCGGGCTCGGGCCTGGTGAATAGGGCATTAAAGTTAACGTGGAATATATGAACACACACAGAGACACATAGCGATCCACATGCACAAACGGTACACTAAAGCACACGGACAGAATCACGCGTACCCACACACACATTTACATATATGAACACACACACATACACCTATCCACGTGCATACGTTCAGTGAGTACAAATACACAGACGCATACATTTAAACTGACACACATATAACATGTGTACAAATACACATTAAAGACACTGATACATGACATCTACACGAACGCACAGGTGGACAAAAAACAACGACCCCCGTATAGCCTTGACAGACTGTTGGGGCAAGTGCTGTTAGCGAGCACCTATGAAGGCCGGCACGGCACACGAGGGGGTGGGTGGCCAGCACCACGCCCGAACAAAGACACACAAAGACAAAAGACACACAAAGTATGGAAAAACAAGTATAGGTTTTACCATTTGACACCGGCAAAAAATGGTCCCCTTTTTTTTTTTAGACGCGCAAAAACACGCGCACGCAAGGACACACACCGCACGCGCGCGCACAATAAATTGTTACAAAACAGCATGCGTTTTAATCATTCGCAAATTCACGTCTACGAGCTAAGGCGATGTGATGTGGCTGCGGTGCAGGGCTCCTTGCTAAGTGCCACACGGCGTCACCCGTGTGTTTGGCTGCTCCCCAGTAAAGCATGAGAACGTCCACTCAAACGTGCCACGGTTCCCTTAAGTACGTGGCGTATTGTTCGTACATGATGATGCATGTGGAAATGGTGTAAAGGGGGTCGCTGTGAAATTGGGGAGGAGGGGGGGGGGTGGGAAGGTAGGGGTGGGGGTCAAAAAACCCCCGAGAGAATCATTTTGTAAGCTTGTCCCTTGTGCCATCCGTGTATAATTAATCTGCATATTAAATTGTCACTGTCGGAGCGATGTGTGTGGCTATCATCACTGGCTCGTCACAACGTCCTGTGTCACTCAGGCATCATTGACACACCCAGGCATTCGCCACGAAGTGACGGTGATCTACGCCACAGCGCCTGTGCCAGGCGAGGTGCACTTTTGAGGCCACGTGAAATGTTGAAGGCTCGCTGCTGACAGGAGGTCATGGGACAGACCCAGCAGGTGCCGTGGGTTGACTGAGATGACTGGCTGATGCACCACCTGTGCCCCCTCCTGTGCCAACTTTCTGTGTTTAATCCACAAGGCGCTCCGCTCGTTGTTGTTGCGTCGCTCCTCCGCCCTCCGTTGTTGTTGGAGAGCGACTGCCTCCAACTGCCCAGTAGCAGCGTCCTTCACGAGCCTCCTCCACAGAGGCCGATCTTGACACCGCTGGTACCAGTCATCGGCAAGTCCACTCAGCTCCACGTCCTCCTGGACCACATCACTCCATCTCTTCTCTAGCCCATAATTAAACACACGCGCACACAAAAATCCAACACGTTTGCGAATAACACCGTAGCCTTATAAAATAAAAAAAAATGTAATAGGCGATGTTTCGGGCAATGACCCGTCTTCATAGCACCACTTGTTCGCCGTTGCCAATGCATTATATGCATTATAGTATATGCATTATAATTTGTTTAATCAATAACCAATCAGAACGTCCCCCATGTGTTCGTCATCGTGGACCAATCAAGATCGCTCCGTGGGTGTTGCTGATTTCATTATTAGGCCAATAAGAACGTTCTGTGTCACTCCGTCTTTAATGACCAATCAGAACGAACCCCCGGTGTCACTGCGTCATCATCAACCAATCAGAATGCTCCTCCGGAGAGGATGCGTCTTCACTCACCAATCAGAATGCTTATTAGTTATTATTGTATTTGACACAATGCTTATTGTGTCAAATACAACATCACTGACCAACCAGAACGAACCCCCCGATGTAACTACGTCATCACTCATCAATGCGTCGGCGGATGAATCATCACTGACCAATCAAAACACTTTCCCGTTCGTCACTCAAGTCATCACTAACCAATCGGAGCGCTCTCCGTCATCGGTGACCAAGCTGGACGACCCCCCCCTCCCACCTTTGTGTGTCTATGACCTCTGACCAATCAGATCGTCGTCTGCACTGCGTTCGTCCGTCATCCCGAACCAATGAGAACCGCCGCATTGGAATTCCGAAGCGAATTTCTGAGCGCCCGCTCAGCGCAATGGAGCACGTGGCGCCCCCTGCTATCTAATTATTCAGCAGCTGAATATTTATCCTGGAGGAATCCGATGAGCTATGCAGCTCTTTTCTTGTCACAGACGTCCGGTAGTTTATTACGTCTTATAGTTTAGTATAAAATATTTGCCACATTTATAATTGAAACAGCGTTCAAATATGCTGTAATTGCAGTCCAAAGTAATCAATCATAATGTAGTCAACCTGTCGAATATGAACCCTTAAACCATATTATCCGAATTTGTAATTAATTACCAATTAACTAAGCAATGTCGCGATAAAAGTTAAAGTTTGCGCATCCAATGAGTTAAAAGGTCTTCAGAGAGTAACAACATCGGTAGTATGAATTCAACACAGACAAAACGCTGCACTGGTTTCAACAGAAAGTGACTCATCAGCAAGCCGGTTTGCCATGGAATGTAAAGGCAATAATTTTCTCTTTAAACTTTGGGTCATAATTGGACGCAACGCAGTGCAAAAACTCAACATATTCGTCAATAACAGTCTGGCCTTAAAAGGAACAATAATATCTATAATGGGCGAGGTTTTGTTCAATGGCCCATCCTCATAGCCACATGAAACGTAACGCAAAATGAACAGAAAATAAAAATATAAGACCCTCGGTGACGTCATTACAGCTCGATGCCGGGCTGTCGGCCATTTTTAAACACGGAACCGTCCCGCTCCCCTACCCAAGATGGCCGGCGTGACGTCACGTTAATTACGCGCGGAAAAAAATCGAACAGTGCTCGCGGTTTGCATGCCAACAGTGTGCTGTGTAAGCTTGTACATTTTAAAACGTACTACTCGTAAGAGCGGCATTCGCTAAACCTACCCGCTGGCCAACGTCATGACGTCACCACGTTACGCAGTGGGTTTGATTTGCCGTGACGTAAACATCGTCCGGCGTACCACCCCCCTTGCATTATGCCGTGACGTCACGCTCCAAACCAATTAGCGCGAAGTGGTGACGTAACGCGTATTCTTTGTGTCTTTCGGTGAAGTCACGTAGATCGAAAAAATAATAACAATAAAATAATAAAAAATAAAGTGAATGCAAAATAATAAAAATATCACGACGTTTCGTTTTTTTTCCTGATGACCATTGCTTGTGTTGCGATCGAAATGTCGTGATATTTTTTATTTTTTATTCACTTTAGTTTCATTTAAATTTTTATTATTTTATTGTTATATTTTTTTCTACCTACGTGACTTTGCCGAAAGACCCAAAGAATATGAATTCCTGCAGTCACGAAAGCTTTAAAAGTCACAACGTAACGCGTGATCGGCTCGTTACGTCACGACGTTACGCCGTGACGGTGGGGGAGGGGGCGGGTTGCGGGGAGGCGATCCGGGGAGGGGGGGCGCGGCCCCCTTACGCGATGACGTCTTCGCAATTCGAATCCCACTGCGGCGGCGTTACGCGATGGCGTCACGACGTCGGTACGCGGTGACGTCACGACACCGGCCAGTGTGTGTGTGTGTGGGGGCGGAGTGTTGAACAACGGTGAGTTTTTGCGAATGCGATTTTTTGACAATTATTTCCTTACTCTTAAACGTTTACGCTTATTTACATCGATTTAACGGCGACAGCCTTCCCCGTGCGGATCGCAGGCAGCTTGTGCGTTCAAGCGTTATCGTGTTAATATTGCCAGCGTAAGGGACACGTGAACGCTTATTCAAGCGTTAACATGACCTTAGTGCGCCATTAGTGTGCAGTATACATGGACTGTATGTGACATGCAGCATAGGTTGTGTCATGTATAGGCTTACTATATCTAGACCTATTGTGTAGACTGTGTGTGTCACGTATAGACCGTGTCATATAGACTGTGTGTGTCACGTATGTGACATGTATAGACCGTGCCATGTAGACTGTATGTAACATGTATAGACTGTGTCATGTAGACTGTATGTAACATGTATGTACCGTGTCATATAGACTATGTAACATGTATAGACCGTGTCATACAGACTGTATGTGACATGTATAGACTGTGTCATGTAGACTGTATGTAACATGTATGTACCGTGTCATATAGACTATGTAGCATGTATAGACCGTGTCATACAGACTGTATGTGACATGTATAGACTGTGTCATGTAGACTGTATGTAACATGTATAGACTGTGTCATGTAGACTGTATGTAACATGTATAGACTGTGCCATGTAGACTGTATGTAACATGTATAGACCCTGTCATGTAGACTGTATGTAACATGTATAGACCGTGTCATGTAGACTGTATGTGACATGTATAGACTGTGTCATGTAGACTGTAACATGTATAGACCGTGTCATGTAGACTGTATGTAACATGTATAGACTGTGTCATGTAGACTGTATGTAACATGTATAGACTGTCATGTAGACTGTATGTAACATGTATAGACCGTGTCATGTAGACTGTATGTAACATGTATAGACCGTGTCATGTAGACTGTATGTAACATGTATAGACTCTGTCATGTACACTGTATGTAACATGTATAGACTGTCATGTAGACTGTGTGTAACATGTATAGACCGTGTCATGTAGACTGTATGTAACATGTATAGACTGTGTCATGTACACTGTATGTAACATGTATAGACTGTGTCATGCACACTGTATGTAACATGTATAGACTCTGTCATGTACACTGTATGTAACATGTATACACTGTCATGTAGACTGTATGTAACATGTATAGACTGTGTCATGTAGACTGTATGTAACATGTATAGACCGTTTTGGTTTAAAGCTTTCGTGACTGTAGGGATTCATATTCTTGGTTCTTTCGGTAAAGTGACGTAGAAGGGAAACAATAAAATAATAAAAATATAAAACAATAGGACTCCTCTACTGACGAACGACACTTAAGATGTAGATACCACTGGTTCTTCACGTTCTGCAGATGTAGATGCCACTGGTTCTTCAAGTTCTGCAGATGTAGATGCCACTGGTTCTTCACGTTCTGCAGATGAAGATGCCACTGGTTCTTCAAGTTCTGCAGATGTAGATGCCACTGGTTCTTCACGTTCTGTAGATGTAGATGCCACTGGTTCTTCACGTTCTGCAGATGTAGATGCCACTGGTTCTTTACGTTGTAGATTTAGATGCCACTAGTTCTTCACGTTCTGCAGATGTAGATGCCACTGGTTCTTCACGTTCTGCAGATGTAGATGCCACTGGTTCTTCAAGTTCTGCAGATGTAGATGCCACTGGTTCTTCACGTTCTGCAGATGTAGATGCCACTGGTTCTTCACGTTCTGCAGATGTAGATGCCACTGGTTCTTCACGTTCTGCAGATGTAGATACCACTGGTTCTTCACGTTCTGCAGATGTAGATGCCACTGGTTCTTCACGTTCTGCAGATGTAGATGCCACTGGTTCTTCACGTTCTGCAGATGTAGATGCCACTAGTTCTTCACGTTCTGCAGATGTAGATGCCACTGGTTCTTCACGTTCTGCAGATGTAGATGCCACTGGTTCTTCAAGTTCTGCAGATGTAGATGCCACTGGTTCTTCACGTTCTGCAGATGTAGATGCCACTGGTTCTTCACGTTCTGCAGATGTAGATGCCACTGGTTTTTCACGTTCTGCAGATGTAGATACCACTGGTTCTTCACGTTCTGCAGATGTAGATGCCACTGGTTCTTCACGTTCTGCAGATGTAGATGCCACTGGTTCTTCACATTCTGCAGATGTAGATGACACTGGTTCTTCACGTTCTGCAGATGTAGATGCCACTGGTTCTTCACGTTCTGCAGCTGTAGATGCCACTGGTTCTTCACGTTCTGCAGATGTAGATGCCACTGGTTCTTCACGTTCTGCAGATGTAGATGCTACTGGTTCTTCACGTTCTACAGGTGTAGATGCCACTGGTTCTTCACGTTCTGTAGATGTAGATGCTACTGGTTCTTCACGTTCTGCAGATGTAGATGCTACTGGTTCTTCACGTTCTACAGATGTAGATGCCACTGGTTCTTCACGTTCTGCAGATGTAGATGCCACTGGTTCTTCACGTTCTGCAGATGTAGATGCCACTGGTTCTTCGCGTTCTACAGATGTCGATACCACTGGTTCTTCACGTTCTACAGATGTAGATGCCACTGGTTCTTCACGTTCTGCAGATGTAGATGCCACTGGTTCTTCACGTTCTGCAGATGTAGATGTCACTGGTTCTTCACGTTCTGCAGATGTAGATGCCATTGGTTCTTCACGTTCTGCATATGTAGATGCCACTGGTTCTTCAAGTTCTGCAGATGTAGATGCCACTGGTTCTTCACGTTCTGCAGATGTAGATGCCACTGGTTCTTCACGTTCTGCAGATGTAGATGCCACTGGTGACTTACCATGTGGAAATGTATTGCAACCAAATACTTTAAACGCACGTTGTTTGGAGGGAATAACCGGAGTACCCGGAGAAAAATTCACACGGCTGCGGAGAGAGAGATAGAGACACGCAAACTCCAAACAGTCGTCGGGGTCGGGATAAAACCCACAACCTCCTGTATACCAGGCGAGGTAGTTAACATCTCCTCGCCACCGTGGCGCCCAAATCCAGCCATAGCCCCGATGTACGTCTTCCCCGTCTTCACGTCGTTTCGCAAATAGTACGTCGTCACTTTGTTAAAAGGAAAATAAACATTTTTTAGCACGTCATAGTGTGCAATGCTTCTCCATTTGAATGCGCCGGTCGGCGGGAGGGTGATGAATGTTGTGAGGAGTGGGGAGAGATGAGATCCAGAAATAAAGGATAAGGAGATAATCCTGACGGATATAGGCTTGTTGTGGACCCCATAAGCCGCACCAACCAATTAGCCATGGGTATCCATGCCTCTTGTCATCGTTATCTTTGTCATCAGCAACAGGAATAGGGCAGTCCTCGACTTAAGAACGTGGTTACATTCCGAAGACGATTTGCTTGTATCTTGGAACTCGATGTTTCATATTTAATCGTGTGCATTATTTTGTTAAACTCGTAACTAAAAAGGAATATGTTAATACTGTTATGGATACCGTTTAGTAAATCGATAAGATAAAGTGGTGCAGTGGTTGTGTCGAATAAACGGTCGACTCGGCCTTAACTGAGTGCCTGGCTGTGGTGCGTACAAAACATGAGTTCGCTTTTGCCAACATCTAAACGTTGGCTCTTTGAAAGCCATCAAAACATTTCGATTTTACTCCAAGATTAATTCTTTTGGCTGAAAAAGTGGCTCGGCGGGATTCGCCAGCGCGCCAGGAACTCTGCCAAAAAAATGTTTTTGTCTGTCATGCCCTCAAAGCGGTCGTCGATATTTTGTCACATGTGCTGGTGGTTCATCGTGAAGCCGCAGTGACAGCGTTGACGCCACGATTGGCAAAGCGCTGGCTCAGAAGTCCGAGTGGGCATTCGTAGCACGGCCTTATAACCAAAGCGTGCGGAGTTGCGGGCCAGTCACGTCAGATTTTAGAAGCTCAGCGGGGCGGGCCCAGCGAGAGCCGCGTGATTGACCGCCGGAAACGCACGGAAGGTTGGAGAAGCCTCATTGTGGTGAGATTCTTTTTTTACCCACGACAATTTCGAGACTTTCAGAGTTTGCTCTCGATTATCCACGCGTGCGGTTTATCCGACTTGTGGATTAACCGCGCACCTGAGATTGACGTAAATGAATATCTCTTGGATTTTCCCCTTAGAAGCCCAAATTAATGGTCGATCAAACAATTGTACATCGTTATTCCTGGAAATGTTTCTTACAAGTCGCGTGTGCTTAAACGGGAAAAAAAATATGTTGCTCCGGTTAATCCGAAATCAAACGTGATCGCCTCTACGATACTGTGGTTTGCATATATATGTTTACAACAGTGGGTGGCGGAGTTTGATTATTTTTGGATAATCCATGATTTTGAATTATCCACTGCCATCCTCCCCGTCATTCGCGTGGATGATCAAGAAAATCGGCAATTTTTTATTTATTTCTGTGCAGCGCTTGGAATGCGATGTTATTGCCCAAAAGGTGCTTTTGTATCAAACAGTTATTTTCGTCTTGATTTGAAGCTTTTGTGACTGCAGGAATCCATAGTTTTTGGCTCTTTCGGTAAAGTCACGGAGTAGGTAGAAAAATAATCGATCGTGACATTTCGATCGCCACACAAGCAAGTCGTCTTCTCTCTCTCCCACCTGAAGACGATTGCTTGTGTGGCGATCGAAACGTCGCGATGGATTATTTTTTTCTACCTACTACGTGACTTTCCCGAAAGAATCAAAGAGTACAGTTATTTTTGTCATTAATTTACCCTATTTCTTTTTTTAAACAATGAGAGTGAACATTCAGCCGTACTCCATCGTGCCTTTCCTTGAAACGGGCGTTTGGAGATCGTTGAAAAGAAGAAAAAAAAACGTGAACATTGAAACTGTTTTCTCAGGTTAATGAACAAGCGTCCCCGTGTCCAGTCAAGCGAGAGTTTGAAATCATGTCAGGTGAGATTGCACTCCGACACCATGCGTATCGACGCTCTAGTGTGTCTGTTCAAAGTGCCGAACTCCTGCTGTTGTTTTTCAACGTCGAGTATTGCTCCCCGTTCCCGGTCTACGACTCAGAACTTCGATTCAGACTGCAGGAGAAATCCGATGAGCTATAAAGCTCTTTTTCTCACAGATGTCCAGTTCCCGGGGGGAGGGGGGTGGTCAGAAGGGTACAACAACAAACGATACAAATAACACGATAAGAATGCACATTATAAGAAAGGTAAACAAATCACAAACAATTAAAAGTTGTTCAAATGTTTCCCCAGTTTTATTTTGCACCATCCAGGCTCAAAATCCCTGCCTAGCTTCTAAGATCAGATGATGAGATTGGGTTGCATTCCCGGTAATTTGGTCATATGTTTACAAATACAAAAGACAAAGATCCCCCCTATTACAGCCTTAAAGGACCGTGGGGGCAAGTGCTGTTAGCGAGCTCCTCTGAAGGCCAGAATGGTACACCAGGGGGTGGGTGGCCAGCACCACGCCCGACCTAAGGCAGGCCCAGGACCGGTTCAAATAAACGTCACCGGTGTTGTGCCGTGAGCAGGAATCCAACTCGGGCCGCCGGGGAATCGTAGGGCAGCGTAGCGCAAATCGCTACGCCGCTCCCCACAAGATACACAACAGCAATTGCAATAATGCCCCACCACCACTCTCCCACCATCATCTGCGAAAACTTGGTAGGGCCCTCCAGAAAAAAGAGTCTTGTGACTCGGCAAAGCATTCCTGCTTCGTAATAGTAGTCATAGCGATGATGATAATAATAATGTGTCCGTTTGTTTGCAGAGAAAGAAAATAACTTCCCCCCACTGCCCAAGTTCATTCGGCTGAAGCCGTGCTTCTACCAGGACATTGAGGGCGACATTCCTCCGCCACACACGCAGACCGTCAAGCGACTCTACTACCTCTGGCTATGTACGTACGTGTGTATGTATGTATGTTGTATGTGTGTATGTTGTATACATGTATATTTTATGCATGTTGTGTGTATGTTTGTTTTGTTGTACGTATGTATGCGTGTACATACGTAAGTACGTTTCCATGTTGAACTCCTTTCGCAGCGTACGTGCTCATCGGAGGTGCGGGGGGAAGCACAACAAACGAAACGCAAATAGCAGTTTCTAAATAAATTAGTTCGTCAATCTAGTAGCTTCCTAATATCGGACGGAAGAGCGTTCCAGACGGCCGCAGAAGCGCACCTGACAGCGCCACGCGATACGGCGACCACGGCCTTTGTCCGACGGCCAGCCAGAAGCCGCCGCTGCTGCTGCTGCGAGGGTGGCCGGAGTTTGCGTGATGATGGTTTACAGCTCCTTGACGAGGTCAACAAGGCGCCGTGGTTTCGGTCGTGGCCAGCAGCACCCGCTGTGTGTTGAACGAGCGCGACCCCGGAATGTGTTGGTGCGCGCGTCACAAATCACGGTGGTGCTTTCCCGTTGGACGTTTCAGTGCAAGGGCTTACACTGGCCGTGAACCTGATCGGATGCCTCGCCTGGATCATCGGTGGGGGCTCGGCCACCAACTTTGGCCTGGCCATTGTGTGGCTCCTTCTCTTCACGCCCTGCTCCTACGTCTGCTGGTTCCGTCCCATCTACAAAGCCTTCAAGTAGGTCGAAGCGGAGAAACAATCTCCGTTTGGGGCGGGTGCGTTGTGGGGGTTGGTTCATAATGGCTGGGTCGAAGACACCTCGACAGCGCAGCGCTGAGTTTAAACCCTCGGCTTGGGTGTCTCAACTACTCGCCACGGTGGCAAGATGTTAACTACCTCGCCTGGTATACGGGAGGTATTGGGCTTGATCCCGACCCTGACGCCTGCTGTATATTTGGAGTTTGCGGTGTCTCTCTTCCTGTGGCCGCGTGGATTTTTCTCCGGGTCCTCCGGTTTTTCCCTTCACATTTAGAATCGACATCATGCGTTCCGAGTATTTGGCTGCTTTAAGTTTCCACGTGATGAACCACTTAACTGGGCTATCATTTTGTGATAGTCAGGTCGCTTCTGAAAAAAAAGCTATATAGCTCAGTGGGGCCTTACCTGGTAAAATAAAAAAAAGAACAGTTTCATAATTGAGCTCATAATCAGAATCAGAAAGGGTTTTATTCGCCATGAAAGTTCACACAGGAAAGTGCATACATTCAACATATAGGAATCTTAAATCTTAAATAAGTGGTATACAAGTCCAACTATACTAAAGGTACAAAGTCTAACTAACACTAGGGGGCTAAAGTATGTAAAATTTTGAATAAATATTGAATATAAAGTAGCTATAAGATACAATCTAAAAATACAAAAAATACAGATAGGGTAACATAGTGTAAATATGGCAAGGTGTCATTTTGTAGATAAAATGTTAAAGTCAGTGTAAGCCCTTGGCCTTGTTGAAGAGACCAGCAGCGGATGGGAAGAAACTGTTTTTGTGGCGTGAGGTTTTGGTCCTGATGGACCGCAGCCTTCTGCCGGAGGGGAGTAGCTGGAACAGAGAGTATCCAGGGTGGGAGGAATCGGCCACAATCTTCCTCGCTCGCCTCATGGTCCTCGAGGTGTGCAGGTCCTCGAGGGTTGGTAGATTGTAGGCAATCACCTTCTCAGCAGTGTGGATGATACGCTGCAGTCTGCTCTTGTCCTTGGCAGTGGCAGCAGCGTACCAGACGGTTATGGAGGAGGTGAGGATGGATTCAATGATTGCTGTATAGAAGTGCACCATAATTGTCTTTGGCAGGTTGAATTTATTCAGCTGCCATAGGAAGTACATCCTCTGTTGAGCTCTCTTGGTGAGGGGGCTGATGTTCAGTTCCCACTTGAGGTCTCGGGAGAGAATAGTGCCCAGGAAGCGGAAGGACTCCACAGTTTTGACTGGGGAGTCGCACAGGGTGATGGGGGTGAGTGGGGCTGTATTCTTCTTGACGTCCACAACCATCTCAACTTTCTTTAGAGCATTTAGCTCTAAGTTGTTCTGGCTACACCAAGTCATCAGGTTATCAGCTTCCCACCTATAGTCAGACTCATCCCCACCAGAGATCAGCCCAATGAGGGTGGTGTCGTCCGCAAACTTCAGGAGTTTGACGGACAGATGATTGGAGGTGCAGCTGTTGGTGTACAGGGAGAAGAGCAGTGGGGAAAGGACGCAGCCCTGAGGAGTTCCGGTGCTGATGGACCTGGAGTCAGAGACTTTTGTTCCCAGCTTAATGCACTGCTTCCTGTCAGACAGGAAGTCTGTGATCCACCTGCAGGTGGAGTCGGGCACGTTCAGCTGGAAGAGCTTGGCCTGAAGCAGGGCAGGGATGATGATGTTGAAGGCAGAGCTGAAGTCCACAAACAGAATCCTGGCGTAGGATGCTGGGGAGTTCAGATGCTGTAGGGTGAAGTGGAGGGCTATGTTAACTGCGTCGTCCACAGACCTGTTGGCTCTGTAGGCAAACTGAAAGGGGTCTAGGAGAGGGTCTGTGATGGCTTTGAGGTGTGCCAGGACCAGGCGCTCAAAAGACTTCATTACCACAGAGGTAAGGGTGACCGGTCTATAATCATTCAGTCCTTTTGGCCTTAGCTTTTTGGGCACAGGGATGATGGTGGAGGACTTGAGACAGGCTGGTACATGGCATGTCTCCAGGGAGGTGTTAAAGATGTTGGTGAACACCGGAGACAGCTGGTCAGCACAGTGCCTGAGGGTGGCTGCTTTGCGTGGGTTCTGCCTCTTGAAAAGTCTATTAACTTCTCCCTCCTGAAAGGAGAGAGTCGTCTCTGTAGTAGGGGTGGGGGATGGGGCCTCTTGGGTGGGAAGGGGTAGTTCAGGACAGTCCAATTGTCTTTCAAATCTGCAGTAGAACTCGTTCAGGTCGTTGGCCAGGCGGGAGTCGTTAGTGGTGTGGGGGGCTCTGGGCTTGTAGTTGGTGATCTGCCTGAGCCCTCTCCAGACAGAAGCAGAGTCGTTAGTAGAGAACTGGTCTTTTAGTCTCTCTGAGTACAGTCGTTTAGCCTCTCTCACCACCTTGCTAAACCTGTTCTTCGACTCCTTGAATCTGTCTCTATCCCCACTCCTAAACGCTTCCTCCTTCTCCAACCTCAACCTTCTGAGCTTTGCTGAGAACCAGGGCTTGTTGTTGAAGTTCACCCTTGTACGTGTTGGAATACAGCAGTCCTCACAGAAGCTGATGTACGACGTCACAGCCTCTGTGAGTTCATCCAGACTATTGGTAGCAGTCGTGAACATATCCCAGTCAGTACAGTCCAAGCACACCCGCAAATCCTCCACAGCCTCACTGGTCCACTGTTTAGATGTCCTCACAGCAGGTTTACAGAGCTTTAATTTCTGCCTGTATGCAGGAATCAGGTGGACCATGGCATGGTCAGAGTGTCCCAGTGCTGCTCGGGGGACGGCGTGGTAGGCTCTACTGACTGTAGTGTAGCAGTGATCCAGAGTGTTCCCTTCTCTGGTAGGGCATTTAATGAATTGTATGTATTTGGGGAGTTCGTGGCTGAGATTACCTTTGATAAAGTCGCCAAGTACGATAACCAGCGAATCTGGATTTGCTCGCTCAACACTCAGAATCTGGTCGGCGAGCATGCGTTGGGCCTCTTTAACCTGAGGACCCGGCGGCAAGTAAACTCCGACCAAAATGAGCGACGCGAACTCGCGAGGCGAGTAGAAAGGTTTACAGTTTATAAAAAATGATTCAAGGACCGGAGAACAATGTTGCAGAATCGCTGTGACATCTACACACCAGCCACTGTTAATGTAAAAACAAATACCACCGCCTTTCGTCTTGCCGGAGAGTGCTATGTCACGATCCGATCTTAAAAGATGGAATCCTGCCAGTTGTAGCGCAGTGTCCGGAATCAAATCACACAGCCATGTCTCCGTGAAGCACAAAACAGAAGATGAAAGAAAGTCTCTGTTTCTCACCATCAGTAGCTGAAGTTCGTCCATTTTGTTGCACAGTGAACGTACGTTGGAGAGGAAAAAGCTCAAGCACTGTTTGGATCCCGCGTCTGCATAGCCGTACGAGAGCCCCCGACCGTTTACCCCTTGGGCGGCGTTTCGCTGCTTGAGCAAAGCCTAGCGCGGCATTAACTAGAATGCCTACTAATTCTGCCGCTGGAAGCAGAAAAGTGGGAAATAAATCCACAGGAGTTGTTTCCCTGATGTTTAAAAGTTCGTCTCTTGTTAGGGAACTCCGAAAATCTTGGCAAAACACTGAATTAATAGACAAAACAGGGCGCACCGACCGGCGAAGGCTACCATCATCGGCGCCATCTTCGCACCAGCACGGGTGTGCTGAACAGCAGGACTCTCTCACCAGCACGGGTGTGCTGAACAGCAGGCCTCTCTCACCAGCACGCGTGTGCTGAACAGCAGACCTCTCTCACCAGCACAGGTGTGCTGAACAGCAGGCCTCTCTCACCAGCACAGGTGATCAAGCAAAACAAGACAAAACCGGACAAAACAGGGCGCACCAACCGGCCGAGGCTGCCATCATCGGCGCCACACATGCATATGTTAATGGGCGGGTTGAAGACACTGACACAGCATAGCTGACGCTCTGGAGTTTAAGCCGAGGGAGCGATGCATCTCTAAGCGGGTTTATAATGCGGTGTCTCTCTTCCTGTGGCCGCGAGTCAGTGAAGCTGAGATGTTGCACTTGAGCTCTTGGTTTGGGCGCATCTCCGTTTCTTGGGGTTTATGATGGCCATGCTGGCATCACCGAACCACTCCCACTTACACCGTGTCCCGTGTTCGAGTCGGCTGCAGCTTGCAGGGCGTGGGTGTTCCCCGTCCACCGCTGGATCTCGGGACGCGCGAGCGGTTCAGCGGAAATTTGATTTAAAGAGGCGTAGCAGTGGCGCCGTTTTTAAAGACGTTGTCACTCGCCGCGGAGAACCGTATCGACACGACCGCCGCCACTCTCTCATCTTCATCGGTACGTCATCAGTACGTCATCAGTACGTCATCGGCTCGTCATCGGTACATCATCGTCATCGGTACGTCATCGGTACGTTATCGTCACCGGTACGTCATCTTCATCGGTACATAATCGGTACGTCATCATCATCAGTAGGTCATCGGTACGTCATCGTCATCAGGACGTCATCGGTACGTCATCGGTACGTTATCGTCACCGGTACATCATCTTCATCGGTACATAATCGGTACGTCATCATCATCTGGACGTCATCGGTACGTCATCGTCATCAGGACGTCATCGGTACGTCATCGGTACGTCATCGGTACATCATCGGTACATCATCGGTACATCAGCGGTGCGTCATCGTCATCGATATGTCATTGGTACGTCATTGTCATTGGTACGTCATTGTCATTGGTACGTCATTGTCATTGGCACGTCATTGTCATTGGCACGTCATTGTCATTGGCACGTCATTGTCATTGGTACGTCATTGTCATTGGTACGTCATTGTCATTGGTACGTCATTGTCATTGGTACGTCATTGTCATTGGTACGTCATTGTCATTGGTACGTCATTGTCATTGGTACGTCATTGTCATTGGTACGTCATTGTCATTGGTACGTCATTGTCATTGGTACGTCATTGTCATTGGTACGTCATTGTCATTGGTACGTCATTGTCATTGGTACGTCATTGTCATTGGTACGTCATTGTCATTGGTACGTCATTGTCATTGGTACGTCATTGTCATTGGTACGTCATCAGTATGACATTGGTACGTCATCAGTATGACATTGGTACGTCATCGTCGTCGTCATTGGTATGTCATTGGTATGTCATCAGTACGTCATTAGTACGTCATTGGTACGTCATTGGTACGTCATCGTCATCGGTACTTCATCATCATTGGTACGTCATCGGTACGGGAAAGGGTTAAGATGCAGGAATCAGGTCTCTGTCTCATGCACCAGTGGCGAAACGGAGTTCTCAGTCGTCGAGGGTTTGACGTCTCGGCCCAGTCAAAACGAGACCCGCCTCCGTGTATCCAATGTTGGTGCACCGAGCTATGTACCCGGTTGAACTTCTTTCGCACCGTTCGCGGCCAACCGTGCTCATCGGAGGTGCGTTGTTGCGCGCTGGGGTCATAGTGCGCGCCACCGCCGCCGCCGTCGTTATCGTTGCGCACGACGTCCGACGTTTCGCACCACGTGCCGGAAGCCTCTCGAGTTCCGGGTAGTTGCTGAGGAAGCTTCCAGCGTGCGGAGCGAAAACGTTGGGACGTCTCGCAACGCACGGGGTTAAAATCCAGAAAACGCATCGGAGATCTGCAGGGTACGGCACAGCTGATGCGCGAGCCTACGCCGGAGCGACATAGATTCGTTCAGAATCAGAATCTTTATCCTTGAGAAATCCGATGAGCTATGAAGCTCTTTTTTTTTTCAAACTACAGATGACCAGCAGGGGGCCTGGTCAGCAAGTTACAACGACAATACATCAACAAAAACGAGGGAGGAGAAGTATAGGATAGGAAAGCATATCACAAAAAATAAATACGTGAAAATAAATACGTAAAATGGACAAAGTGTATTTGATCAAATTGCATAAGTACACCAATTCCAAAGCTCGGACAAAGCAGCAAAACAACGGCAAGAACAGTCACAGACCACAGCAATACAACGCCACGGTCCCTCAATACAATTGCACATGAAAATTGAACCATAGATACACGCGGGGCTAAGGATATTAAACTTGTGTTGTCCCTCCTTGACTCTCCCCTTTATTTTGTAACTCTGCCCCCCCCCTCCGTGCCCCCCCCCCTCCCCACCACACCGTGTGCCCCAGGACCGACAGCTCCTTCAACTTCATGGCGTTCTTCTTCGTCCTCACGGCTCAGCTCGTGATTAACGTCATACAGGCCATCGGCATCTCTGGCTGGGGAGTCTGGTGAGGGGCCCCACGGTGGCTGCCGGTAGACCTGCTCCTCCCTCAGTGTGTGTGTGTGTGTGTAGGTCGACTCAGCCTCAAATGAGTACCTGGGTGCGGTGTGTAAATATCACCATTGCGGAGGCAAAGGCGGTCGGGCGTGGTGCTGGCCACCCACCCCCCTCGTGTGCCGTGCCGGCCCTCATAGGTGCTGCTCGCTAACAGCACTTGCCCCAACAGTCTGTTACAGGCTATATGGGGGATCTTTGTTTTTTGTGTGGGTGTGAGGGAGTGTGAGAGTGTGCATGGGAGAGAGTGCATGGGAGAGACCCTCGCGACCTCCCCACCACGTCCACCCTCGCGACCTCCCCACCACGTCCACCCTCGCGACCTCCCCTCCACGTCCGCCCTCGCGACCTCCCCACCACGTCCACCCTCGCGACCTCCCCACCACGTCCACCCTCGCGACCTCCCCACCACGTCCACCCTCGCGACCTCCCCACCACGTCCACCCTCACGTCTTCCCCTCCACGTCCACCCTCGTGACCTCCCCTCCACGTCCACCCTCGCGACCTCCCCACCACGTCCACCCTCGCGACCTCCCCACCACGTCCACCCTCGCGACCTCCCCACCACGTCCACCCTCGCGACCTCCCCACCACGTCCACCCTCGCGACCTCCCCACCACGTCCACCCTCGCGTCTTCCCCTCCACGTCCACCCTCGCGACCTCCCCACCACGTCCACCCTCGCGTCTTCCACTCCACGTTAACCCTCGCGACCTCCCCACCACGTCCACCCTCGCGACCTCCCCACCACGTCCACCCTCGCGACCTCCCCTCCACGTCCACCCTCGCGACCTCCCCACCACGTCCACCCTCGCGACCTCCCCACCACGTCCACCCTCGCGTCTTCCCCTCCACGTCCACCCTCGCGTCTTCCCCTCCACGTCCACCCTCGCGTCTTCCCGGCCACGTTGACCCTCTCGTCTTCCCCACAGTGGCTGGATTGCGACCATATCGTTCTTCAGCTACAACATTGGAGCGGCCGTCGTGATGCTGATCCCGACCATCATGTTCACCGGCCTCGCCGTGCTCTCTTTCCTCGCGTTAACCAAGGTGACGATATCCACGGGGGACCCCCCCCCCCCCCCCCCCCCCTGCAGTGTCAAACGACGGAAAATATCTAAATAAGAGTTTGCTTTAACCCTAATCTGGCAATTCAACGGGGCGTTGAGATGCTCCAACGCGTCGAATGTCCCCCTCCCCCCCCCCCCGGGGGAAGGGCCTCACCGAGCGTCAAGACTCTTTGTGAGGTTCCTGCAGTAGGTGGCAGGGGGGGCGGGGGAGCAGGGGGAGGGGGGTTGCCCTCGGCGTGATGTGCGTGACGTTTCAACTCCACGACGCGCAGCCACAGTCGACAGCAACACAAACCTCGGTGCGTTTTATTTTGTCAAGAGCACTTGTGTGGCCTTACGACGAAAAAATAAATCCCAGTTACGTTAAAACTGTTAAAAGCTACGTGCTTTTTTTTTATTTTGCCAGGTAAGGCCCGCTGAGCTACATGGCTCTTTTTTTCTGAAGCCACCTGGCTATCACTAGCGAGAGCTCAACGAAGTGGCTTATCCTCATCATCACGTGGAAATCTATGGCAGCCAAATAATCTGAAAACGCGTGATGCTGTTTATCAATGTGGAGGGTAAAAACCCGGGGGACCCGGAGGAAAATCCACGCTACCACGGGGAGAGAGACAACATGCGGGCGTCAGGGTCGGGATGGAACCCACGACCCTCCTGTATACCGGGAGAGGTAGTTAACATCTTGCAACCGCGATGACCATAATGAGAGGGACACCACAAACTCCAAATGTACAGCAGGCGTCAGGGTCCGGATCAAACCCGCGACCTCCTGCGCACCCGGCGACGCAGCTAACGCCTCGCCACCGTCGATTCTGTAGGTGCACGGATACTACCGCGGCAGCGGCGGCAGCATGAGCAAGGCCCAGGAGGAGTGGACGACGGGAGCGTGGAAGAGTCCCGTGGTGCAGCAGGCCGCCTCGCAGGCCGTCGCCTCTCAGCTGCAGCAGCAGCAGCAGCAGCAGCCGCCTGCTTACGGCAACGTCCCCAGCTACGGTTACGGCTCTGACCCCATGGCACCCGCCGACCCGTATGGCGGCGGCGGCGGTGGCGGCGGCGGCGTTGGCGGCGTTGGCGGCGTTGGCGGAGGAGGAGGCTATGGTGGAAGTGCCGGGGGTTATGGGGGAAACGCAGGGGGTTATGGGTATGGAAACGAATACGGGACAAATGCCAACCCGGCTGCCGGTTATTCCTACGGAAATCAGATGTGATTTGTTCTTAGTTTTTTTGTTTGCGGCGATGTAAAGAAACTTTAAAGTGAGGTGTCGTAGTCCGAGTGTGTTTCATTAACTATTTATTTCCGTTTCGTTTGTATAATTCGGCGTGGATTTGCTGTTACCGACAGATCGATTGTCGCTACTGCCGAGTTTTAATGCTAAAAGGCGACGACCGGTCACTCTCGTTTCGTTACATTGTTTAAGTGGGTTCAGGTGCGTCTTCAATTCTGGCCGTGCGTAGGTTTTTCCGAGGAACGTACGTGCCTACGTTGCATGTTGAACTTCTTTCGCACCGTACGTAGCCAACCGCGCTAATCGGAGGTGCGTGGGAAGGACAAGCAAACTAATACACAAAAAGCAGTTCTAAAGAAAGTGCGTTTTCAATATCGATGATTTAGAAGTGCGTAGCTCCCAGTCGGCTTCCTAATATCGCGAGGAAAGAGCGTTCCAGACAGCCGCGGAAGCAGCGCATCTGAAAGCGCCGCCCGACGATGCGGTGACCGCGGTCTTCGTTCGGTGGCTAACAGCCAAAAGCCGCCGCTGCTTCGAGGATGGGCGAAGTTCGCCTGGCGGCGATTTAACATAACGGTTTTGATGAATCGTCACGATTCAGGGTCGCGGTCAGACAGGCGAATCGGTTGTCGTATTGCCCCTTGTGCAGTGTTTTGTAAATCCACAGCGGTTGTTGTGGTTCGGGCAAGTCGTAGTAGTGGTGGTAGTGCGGCTTTCGCGACCAATATCCACAGAAGAGGTCATTGTTTGAATGCGTCGCTAAAACACGGCACCACCCGACACAGCCAATTAGTAAAAGTTTGTCACGTAAACAAAACAACAATAAACACACCGGTTAGTGCTGTACGAGTAACGAATTGCCACGTTTTGTTTACGTGACAAGCCTTACTGATTGGCTTCGTCGGGTGGTGGCGAGGTTAACGACACATTTATATTGACGCGATGGTTCGAACCCAAAAATACCTCTTTAATGGCTGTGGTTCTGCAGTATACGCCAGGATTGTTGCGATTTGGCGAGGCTCAAATTCCACCGTACGATATATACAATCCACGGTAACCGTAGTGACAGCGGTCCTTTTTTTTTCTCCTCCGCGATGTCGTGATCATCGTTGCTAATTTTTTGTAATACATATCTCATTTCCTGACTATGTGAAATAACAACCACGGTAATGAAAGTTCTAAATAAGTAGCTATGTTAACCATTAAAAAAACATATCATTTTCCTGCATCGCATCTTCCAAGCCTTTGACTACCGTCGTAATTAATTTAATTAGTTCTTCTCTAGCTGACGGCACGTGAGTCACTGCGGTCGGAAAGGCTTCGGGTTGAGTGAACTTCGGTAAGAACGCTTTCTCTCGTCACGCTTGAGCACACGGCAGATTTTTGTTAGTTTTTTTTACGCGGCACGGACAATTTGCTCGGCACGATTTCCGTCGACGCTGCGCGGGGGGCGGGGGTGGGGGGGGCGCTGAGGTCTCAGTCGTAGTCGCGAACGTTCATTGTCAGTTTGGCAATGGCAAACGTTTAATTCTGTGCCCACCGTAGGCTCCACTGTGACGTTCCGCGATGGAATCCACTGTGGAGTGAATCGATGATGCACAGCAGCAGCAGCAGCAGGGATCTATACAGCGGTGGTTCTCAGAGTGCGGTTCCCGTACCCCGGTGGGCCCCGGAACCTCCGGTGGTCCCCGATCGCCCCGGTGGTCGGCGACGTTCCTCCAAGTTGGTCAACGGAGCTGTGATGCAAACGCAGCTCGACGCGGAATTCACGACAACGTTCAATCCCTTTTTTGTTTAGGACATTCACATTTGACTTATGATATTTAATTTTAAAATGGAAGCTATGTCAACTACCCTGAGTGAACTAACCCTAACAAGATCTAAATGACCGGTATTTAGAGCGAGAAGTGAATGCGTCTTGTCACCAGGAGCGGGGTGGGGGGGGTGTGCTCTGGGTGGGCCAAGTGATCCGCCGGCCCTAAACGAGTTTGAGCGACAACAACCGCTCGATCCAATCCAAAGTGACCCGTCGATTCCACATCGGCTAAAAAAAAATCTGTTGACTCTGCGGTGGTGCGAACGTGTTGAATCTGTAGTGATAACATTACAGGGACTCCCTCTACTTACGGAACGAGCTGGGTTCCAGAGGTCTGTTCGTGAGTCGCTTTGTTCGCGAGTCGAACTCCACTCCCGTCGCTTCCAAACGCGTTTTCACAGCGGGTTCCCCGGCAGTTCACGCGAGAAAAAAGGGGCAGCTGAACCCGGCTCGAACAGGACACCGTTGGGGCTGTACGGTTTGCCGTAGTCTTGCACAGGGGGGCACGGTGAGCCGCCAAGACTTTGGGGGTTATTTCGTTGAGAAGAACATCGTGGTTGTATTTAAACAGAACGGACGGTGTTGGGGTTCTCCTTCGGAAAGTAAACACTGGACGAGTTCCTGCCACGGGAACGTAGAGTTTCCTTCACTGGATTGTGGCCACGTGTGGCTTGCACACGGGGGCACACGGCGAGCCACGACTTGCCGTATGTATTAAGATCTTCGCTGGGGAGTGGTGGGGGTTATATGGTGGTTGTATTTAAAACAAAACTGACGATGTTTTGGTGGGGGTTTGCGTCGAAAAGTCAACACTGGTTTGTCCTATGGAAAATGCCGAGTTCCCTGCCACGGGAACGGCTCATTTCCTTCACTGGATCATGGTCACGAGCGCTTACGGGCAACATCCAGTGCCCCGTTCGAGGGGAGCGGAGGCCACGAGTTGGGAGTATTTATATTATTCGTGTGTTATCGAGTATTTTGTGAATTGCCCAAAATAACGCAAACGAAGCGCGTCGTGAGTGTTAATTATCTCGTGAGTGAATTCATTTCATTCCATCCTGAAACGGAGAGGTTTTTTTTTGTTTGCGGGCAGTTCGTGCGCGTACAATTTTTTGTTCAGCTATCGGCGTTGCAGCATCCCCTGCACCGTTTGTAGGGGGGGCGCGTTCCCCGGGAAGCCCCATCGTAGACGGTCGAAACGGGAGACACATCACTTTGCCGATGTATTTTTTTTCCCTTTTATCAGCCGTATTTAACGCAGTTTATCAAGAGGTAAACAACAACAACAACGACGACGAACAAAACCCCGGCTCGAGAATAGCAACATCTCCACGCCAAGTCACGTCGCGAACCAGACCGGCTGTTCACATGCTTCAACTAAACTTTTGTTCTACCAGGTACGGCCCACTGAACCACGTACAGGGCGCTTCAACAAATGTTAACACCCATACGGGACTATCGTTTTTTTCATGGAAAAAGAACGGTTAATAATTACACTGTAACGTGATAACAAATGTAACGTTAATAGCTTAAAGAAGTCAAAGAGTCTCCCGCTTGTTCGCCATCGTTGTCAACGCGTGGACTGGAATCTCCTCCAGGAGGTCTCCAGATCCAGGATGAGGCGGCACATTTCTCGTGCGTTGTTGCAAATTCTCCGAAGTGTCAACATTGTTTTTGAAGCACCGCCCTCCATGTAGCTCTTTTCCAGAAGCAACCTATCGCAAATGTTCGCTCAACGGAGTGACTTTTCACGTGGAAATCAATGGCAGCGGCCAAATATTCTTAAACGCGTGACGTTGATTCTAACTGCGGAGGGATAAAGCGGAGGACGCGGAGTAAATATTCACGCGGCCACGGGGAGAGAGAGAGAGAGAGACGCCGCAAACTCCAAATATACAGCAGCAGGAGGCGTCAGGGTCAGGATGGCACCCACGACCCTCCTGTATACTAGGCGAGGGAGTTAACATATCTGAGCCACCGCGTTTGGATCCGTGTCGGCAGATGCGTCGTAAATCGAGTATGCGTCGTAAATGCGGGTCGTCGTAAACCGGAGACCGGCTGTATTTGCTTTTGTTTTCTTTTGGGGAGGGGGGGGGGGGTGTGCGGGGGAGGGGAATGTGTTGCGTCAGCTGTTGGGGGGGGGGCGGGTTTGAAAGTGAAAACGCCGCGCTTGAAACTCAACCAATGCCCCTTTTGGCTTCCGTGAGCGTTAAACGATGTTTGGTGCGGGGCCTTGGCTCAGCCGGCAGTGAATAATTCAACTCGGGCGTGAGTCACGGCGGCTTCGCTTGGCAACGGCGAACCTGCTTCATGCAATTCTCGGTTGCTATTTGAAAGCACTGACCCGTGGGGTAAAACATTCACGACTGTTTTATATATTTATTGGGATAACTTAAAAATCGTCTTACTAGGATCGGGATCTGCAGTGGTTTAATGGTTTGGGGCCGTCCATAAATGACGTCACGCACCTGGGGGGGGGGCGGGGCTCAAACATTTGTGACGGTGACGAGGGGAGGGGGGGGGGGTGAGAAATGTGACGTCACATCAAAATGCGCAACTTTAAATAAATATAGACAACACGTTCTACTTAATTAAATTGACTTTTTAATAAATGTTTTCTCCTCCAACATCAGAGTGCAGCTCCACATTAAATACGCACTACAATAGTTTAAATTGGGGGGGGGGCAGAGCTTTGTGACGTCATATTTGAGGGGGGGTCTGACCTGTTGTGACGCCGTGTGACGAGGGGGGGGTCAAGAATCGTCCAAAATCGCGTGACGTCATTTATGGACGGCCCCTTAGCACAGAGGTCGCCGGTTCAATCCCCGGGTACGGAAGTTGAAGCAACGGGCCAATCTATGGGACCCAATTTGCCGGTATCAACGTGATGGGGAAAAAAAATAATAGCATGTACCCTTTCAGGCACGATTACAGGAGGTATTAAGATGTTGAAACACTAATTAGACACCTATTACCAATAATACCGCAACCCCTATCACTACCCCAACCCCTATCACTACCCTAATCACTACCCCAACCCCTATCACTACTCCAACCCCCATCACTACCCCAACTTATCACTACCCATATTACTACCTCTACCCCTATCTCAATCTGTATTATACTGGAAGAATCCGATGAGCTATAAAGCTATTTTATTCATAGATGTCCAGTAGGGGCACGGGGTCAGATACAAAAACACAATAGGAGTGTAAAGTATAGGTAAGGTAAACACATCACTTAAAAACAAACGAATTTTATCTTACCAGGTAAAGTCCACTGAGCTATTAGCTTCTTTTTCAGAATCAACCTGGCCGCAAATGATAGCTGAATGAAAGTGGCTTATCATGTGGACATTTATAGCAGCCAAATAATCTTAAATAATCTTACCCTTACCCATCCTTAACCACTCTGCACCACCACGTTTAATAAACCTACTCTTTATTGTCATCACTATCGTCTTAAAATTAAGGAAACTTTATTTATTTTACCATGTAAGGCCCACTGAGAGACACGCAAACTCCAAATATACAGCAGCAGGCGTCAGGGTCGGGGTCGAACCCACGACCTCCTATATACCGGGCGAGGTAGTTAACACTCGTCACCGCTATAAGGTTAAAAAAGCTCGACGTTTCGGGATGGCTCCTAGCCCAGCCTAGGAAGGTTCCAGTTCTGCCATTGGCAGGCTCTACCACCCAGCGAGGCTCACCCACGTGGGGTTTTAAACGCGTGCTTGTGGGAGTGTATTAGTCGTTGAGAGTATTATATGCATTATACCCGTGTTTATGAGATTGTGGAGATGACAATGTCCGTGTGCTGTCCTTGTGCTACTGCAGCTGTCATGTGTGTGCGTGTGTACGTCCAAGTGCTGTGTCTTCCTTCTTAGTGTTGACGACACAATTTACGCTGCTTCTCGGTTCAGACCATGCTCTTCACCGATGCTACATACCCAGGAAACGTGCAACATTGGACCAACGTTGGCTCAACGTTGGACCAACGTTGGCTCAACGTTCGAAGTTCACTGGGTATGTACATAAAACTAAAAAAAAATATGAAACAAAGACAGGAGAAGGCTTTGATCGGGAGGTAACGATGCCAGTTTCGTGAAGTTTACTGAAGGTAAAAAACGTTTACTGAAGGTAAACTGAGGTTACGCTTTTAATTAATTCACTGCGTGTCATCGATACATTTTTAAATCATTCCATCCATCGGGAGCTTTTCTGGGATGAATAGAGTGAAGGGTAATAACGACGTCGTTTGCCTCGTGCAGTCATTAGCGATCAGGGCTGAGGGCATCAACTCGCTGCACTTTAGAACCCGGTGTAAACACGAGCAGCTGCAACTCATTCTAACCCAGGATGTCAGTGGTGCTGGCTGTCTGGCTCCGACACGGCCATTATGAACCCACTTAGAGACGCCCAGACCCAGGGGGCTGACACCAGACTAGCAACGGTGCTGGCTCCGTATCTGACACGGCCATTGCGAGCCCTCTAGAGGGACACACACGCAGGCCCAGGGCTTGAACCAGGATCTTAGCAGTGCTGGCTCTACAGCTCCGACACGGCTATTATGAACCCGCTGAGAGACGCCCAGATCCAGGGCTTGAACCTGGATCATAGCAGTGTTGGTTCGGTGTCTCCGACAGAGCCATTATGAAACCCCTTAAAAGATGCGCAGTAAATATCTTACTTGGTGTTAATTACAAATCTAAGATTCGGCTGACACCATCGCTGATATATGACGGTTTTGCTTCTAATTTCACTTTAAATTCAGGTTGTGGGTGCTTCCGCAGATCTGTACAATTTGTTTAAATGCCTGTCGTTAGCTTGTATGTGATGTCGGTGAAATAAAATGTGCAATCCTAAAAAAAAAAATCGATATTTATGTATTTGTTACGCCATCACCAGTTCTGCACGGGTCGACGAATGATTATCCGACATGCAATCGTATAGATTCATATCCACCACCATCTGTCTTGCAGTCGCCCTCACTCACGCAATCAGCAACATCCTTTAAGGGCCACTATTACAGTCTCCTATCATCATCACCAAATACAAAGATCCCCCGTGGAGCATTAACAGACTGTTGGGGCAAGTGCTGTTAGCGAGCAGCACCTATGCAGGCCGGTACGGCACAGGAGGGGGTGGATGGCCAGCACCACGCCCGACCGCCTTTGTCTCCCCCAGTGGCGATGTTTACACGTCGCACCAGGTACTCATTTGAGGCTGTGTCGACCTAGGGGAGGCCCAGGACCAGTTCAGATCGACACTAGTGTTGGCCATGAGCGGGTGTGGAACTCGAGTCGCCGGGTTTGTAGTGCAGCGCGCTCACCGCTACACTACCGCTCTCCCATCACCACCATCTGGCTTGCAGTCAACCCACACTCGTACAGTCAGCAACATCCTTTAAGGACCACTACCACAGTCATCACCACCACCTGACTTCAGGGCTTTCCCCTTGGGTCCCGACCTCTGAAGGCCACTGCAAAGGCTGCCTTAGGTGACCTGGTCTCCTCCACCCTGCACACCACGTGTCCCACCCATCACTCTACCTCATTACACCTACGACGCTTTCCTGCCACGCTCTTTTCCCAACCTCCAAGTGGCTTGCCCCATCCTCCAGCCTGCACACTGCACACAACACGTGTCGGCAACCCATCACAACCTCCTTTTCCTTACTGCGCCCACGTAGCTGAGCTGCCGCGACCTGAGCTCAACCTCCAAGTTGCTAACTCTACCCTTGCCATGGAATTCCGAACATAATGCGAGTGTACCATATGCTCAAAGGAGGCTTACACACACACAGTGGGGCGGGGGATAGTTGTGGGGGGAGGGTACTACATGTAATGTGGGCAAAGAGGAAATATGTTGGGCATTATTGCATGGCTTGATCTATGGAGCAGTGGGACAGATGTACCCGTGCAGGAATGTGTGAGTGGAATACAGGAATGCGGTGTTCTCCCTCCAAGTTACACATTTGTAGACAAAGATAAATATCCCCCCGTATAGCCTAAACAGACTGTTGGGGGCACGTGCTGTTTAGCGAGCACCTATGAAGGCCGGCACGGCACACGGGGGGGGGGGGTGGCCAGCAACCACCACGCCCGGCCGCCTTTATCTCCCCCAGTGGCGATGTTTACTGCACACCGCACCAAGTAATAATTTGAGGCAGAGTGACATTGACAGGCGTAATACATTCCTGCATTCATGAACACACATTCACACATTCTCACCCCCCAAGTTATATAAATACGTATTATCAGGTCAGCCAATCAGTGAAATCCATGTTCTTGTGAGGCCAATTACCTTGTTTGGTCTTCGTCAATGGTCTACAGCCTCTGCTGATATCCCTAAATTATCCGAAGACGTCATTCGTGGCTCAACCAGTCATGGACGACCCCTTCACCAACACGCACTGACCAGCGTGGTGAAGTATGGTCAAGCAATACCCCCCCCCCCATGATTGACACAGCGAGGACAGGGCCATTCGTCATGGCAGTGTTGTGTGGGTGCTGCGGTGGCGAGACGCCGCCTCTCTCGCCCGGTGTGGGTTCGATCCCGATCCTGCGCGCGTATCTCTCTCTCTCTCTCCACGTGGATTTTTCTCCGGATCCTCTGGTTTTCCCACTCCACGTTTTGAATAAACATCACGCGATTCGGAGCATTCGGCCGCTGTCGATGTCCACGCGCTAAGCCGCTTCGTCGAGCTTTCAATTTGTTGCCACGTCGCTTCTGAAAAGGAGTTCTATAATGGGCCTCGCCTGGTTTAAAACAAAATAAACGACTCTTAAATGGCACCGTGGGGGTCCCTGCTGATGCTGCTGCTGGCACAACGAGACGGCGTCAGCAGCCAGAGAGACAGAGTGCGTGTCGTGTCGTCGCTCCTCATCCCACGTTGAAGGAGGGCAGACCACAGTGCTTTTACTAGACGGTCCACAGACTAACATTGCCCATGGACTAGCATTGCCCATAGACTAACACTGCCCATAGACTAACACTGCCCATAGACTAACATTGCCCATAGACTAACACTGCCCATGGACTAGCATTGCCCATAGACTAACATTGCCCATAGACTAACACTGCCCGTATACTAACATTGCCCATAGACTAACACTGCCCATAGACTAGCATTGCCCATAGACTAACACTGCCCATAGACTAACACTGCCCATAGACTAACATTGCCCATAGACTAACATTGCCCATAGACTAACATTGCCCATAGACTAACACTGCCCGTATACTAATATTGCCCATAGACTAACATTGCCCATAGACTAACATTGCCCATAGACTAACACTGCCCGTATACTAACACTGGCCATAGACTAGCATTGCCCATAGACTAACACTGCCCATAGACTAGCATTGCCCATAGACTAACATTGCCCATAGACTAACACTGCCCATAGACTAGCATTGCCCATAGACTAACACTGCCCATAGATTAACACTGCCCATAGACTAACACTGCCCATAGACTAACATTGCCCATAGACTAACATTGCCCATAGACTAACATTGCCCATAGACTAACATTGCCCATAGACTAACACTGCCCGTATACTAATATTGCCCATAGACTAACATTGCCCATAGACTAACATTGCCCATAGACTAACATTGCCCATAGACTAATATTGCCCATAGACTAACATTGCCCATAGACTAACATTGCCCATAGACTAACATTGCCCGTATACTAACACTGCCCGTATACTAACACTGGCCATAGACTAGCATTGCCCATAGACTAGCATTGTCCATAGACTAACATTGCCCATAGACTAGCATTGCCCATAGACTAACACTGCCCGTATACTAGCATTGCCCATAGACTAACATTGCCCATTGTGCTATTCTTGTGTATGGCAATGATATTGAGGAGCACGATGCCATTGTGGAGGTCTCCTGCTGATGCTGCCACGCTGAGAAGGCTTCAGCAGAGACACAGAGAGAGACACAGAGAGAGACACAGAGAGAGACACAGAGAGAGACACAGAGAGAGACACAGAGAGAGACACAGAGAGACACAGAGAGAGACACAGAGAGAGACACAGAGAGAGACACAGAGAGACACAGAGAGAGACACAGAGAGAGACACAGAGAGAGACACAGAGAGACACAGAGAGAGACACAGAGAGAGACACAGAGAGAGACACAGAGAGAGACAGAGACAGTTCGTGTCGTGTCGCTGCTGTTTCTCCTCCTGCACTGAACGAACGAAGACCACGGTGGGTTTACTGTGCGGTCCATAGTGTGGGTTGTCTAACTCTATGGGCCTCTGTGTGCCTCTATGTGTCTACATGTGTCTCTATGTATCTCTATGTGTCTCTATGTATCCCTATGTGTCTGTGTATCTCTATTAGTCTCTATGTGTCTCCCTGAGTCTCTATGGGTTTACAGGCCTCAACGTGCACATAGCCTGGTACAAGCGCCGAGGGGACGTCACCGCCACTTAGTGGCGAATGGCTGTTGTTGTTGGTATTTATGGGTTTACTATAGGTCCATATTGTGGGTTGCATGCCCACAGTCCAGGAAGGAACGGCGCGCCTGCTTCGCGTGGGCCATGAGAACGCCCATCAGCCCACCTCAAAAACGAGGATCGTCGTTTGCGTGTACTTAGTTGAACTTCTTTCGCACCGTACGTAGCCAACCGTGATAATCGGAGTTGCAGTGTTGAGTCTATGGGGAGTGTTGAGTCTATGGGTAGCATGTGTGTATGCTGAACTTCTTTCCCACCGTACGTAGCCAACCGTGCTAATCGGAAAATCAGAGGCTGAATTAAGCCGAATGTTCGCCTCACTCCATCCCTTCTCCCTCTTTTCCCTTACCCCCCCCTCTCCGCACGGCACTCCCTCCTCTCACCCTCCATGTCTCTCCACTCCCTCCTCTCTCCCCGTGACTCTCCCCCCCCGCCCCCACGTCGCCTCTCTCCTTTCCCAATGCCTCTCCATCCCCCTCCCTCCTCTCACCCTCCATGCCTCTCCATCCCCCTCCCACCTCGTGACTCTCCGTCCCTCCTCTCTCCCCCTATCCCCCCCATCGCTTCCCCATGGCACGTACCGACTTCCTCTCTCCACACGCCTCTCTATCCCTGCCCTCTCTCCCACCATGCCTCTACATTGAATCTCCCCGAGTCTCTCCATCTACCTGAACTCTCCCCGTGTCTCTCCATCCACCTGAACTCTCCCCGTGTCTCTCCATCCACCTGAACTCTCCCCGTGTCTCTCCATACACCTGAACTCTCCCCGTGTCTCTCCATACACCTGAACTCTCCCCGTGTCTCTCCATCCACCTGAACTCTCCCCGTGTCTCTCCATCCACCTGAACTCTCCCCGTGTCTCTCCATACACCTGAACTCTCCCCGTGTCTCTCCATCCACCTGAATTCTCCCCGCGTCTCTCCATACACCTGAACTCTCCCCGCGTCTCTCCATACAACTGAACTCTCCCCGCGTCTCTCCATACACCTGAACTCTCCCAGTGTCTCTCCATCCACCTGAACTCTCCCCGTGTCTCTCCATCCACCTGAACTCTCCCCGCGTCTCTCCATCCACCTGAACTCTCCCCGTGTCTCTCCATCCACCTAAACTCTCCCCGTGTCTCTCCATCCACCTGAACTCTCCCCGTGTCTCTCCATCCACCTGAACTCTCCCCGTGTCTCTCCATCCACCTGAACTCTCCCCGTGTCTCTCCATCCACCTGAACTCTCCCCGTGTCTCTCCATCCACCTGAACTCTCCCTGTGTCTCTCCATCCACCTGAACTCTCCCCGTGTCTCTTCATTCACCTGAACTCTCGCCGTGTCTCTCCATCCACCTGAACTCTCCCCGTGTCTCTCCATCCACCTGAACTCTCCCCGTGTCTCTCCATACACCTGAACTCTCCCCGTGTCTCTCCATCCACCTGAACTCTCCCCGTGTCTCTCCATCCACATAAACTCTCGCCGTGTCTCTCCATCCACCTGGACTCTCCCCGTGTCTCTCCATCCACCTGAACTCTCCCCGTGTCTCTCCATACACCTGAACTCTCCCCGTGTCTCTCCATCCACATAAACTCTCGCCGTGTCTCTCCATCCACCTGGACTCTCCCCGTGTCTCTCCATCCACCTGAACTCTCCCCGTGTCTCTCCATCCACCTGAACTCTCCCCGTGTCTCTCCATCCACCTGAACTCTCCATACCCTTCTCTTCTCCTCTCTCGACATCTCTCTGCTCTCTCCCCGGTGACTGACTCTCCCACCCCCTCTCCCCCTTTGACCGTGTTCTCTCTCTCTCTCTCCCCTGGGAGACATTCCGTGGTTCCGAGTGGGGGCTCCCTCCTCCCTCCCTTCCCCCTCCCTTCTCCCGCCCCCTGTAATCACTGCCAGACGACGGATCGTAGCGAACTCCGCCACCCTTTCTCTCGGATCCACGGTCGGTGTTGGTGCGTTCACGATACCCGTGGCTTGTTGCTCGGAGCGGTGGCTTGTTGCTCGTCGTTACACGCCGTACGGGGGGGTTCTTTGTCTGTGTAGTGAGTAGTTGCTTGCTGCTAACGGCACTTGCCCTGACAGACTGTGTGGGCTATTCGGGAGATCTTTGTCTGTGTTTGTGTACACGTACGAATCGTACACAGTGCACAGGGCATGGCTGTCCCGTCGCAGAGCATGTGAGTAACTCATTGATGTGTTGTTTTGTCTCTCTGAAATAACTCTGGAGATTATTTCGCTTGAAGTAACTCCTGTCTGTCTCCTCGTGTACCTGCCCTGGAACACACACACAACTCTCTCTCACACACACGCACACACTTTCTCTCTCACACACACGCACACTCTCTCACAAACACACTGACAACAACAACAACCGCCATTCGCCACTAAGTGGTGGTGACGTCACCACGACGTTTGTGCCAGGCCATGTGCACCTTGAGGCCACGTGAAGTGTCGAACGCCCGCTGGCACACACACACGCTCACATACACACACTCTGACGCACACACACACACACACACTCTGACACACACACACACACTCTCAGTAACGAACATATTCCATCTCACAAAGGGCGGCAGCTTCGCAGCAAACTCTGCTCACCCGAACAATCCCCATCTCTCTCTCTCGTGTTTTCTGTCATGGCCAGGCAACTCTCCATCTCGTCACCAATGGCTCCAAAGAGGAACCACCGCTCACGCAGCCTCTCGAGGGTCACCTCCTCGCCGCCTCTGCAGCGCCTCCTCCCCCTCGCCTTCGCAGCGGTCATCGCCACCCTCCTGCTGGGCTCGTCCGATGGCCAGGACGTCGGCAGTTCCTCCAGGGCAGGACCTCCGCCGCAGCCTCAGGTCCCTCCATCAACCGGCCTCCGCCGAACCTTCACCAGCGTGCGCGCCGAGATCGGCCGAGACCCATCGTCGTCGTCGTCGTCATTGGACGTTCGGGATCAAGCTGGAGGTTCCGCGGGGTCTCCTCCAAATTCCGCGGGATCTCCCGCCAACCAGGGTACGGTGCGCGGCCGTACGAGACACCCATACGGGTTCGGTCAGGTGCCGAGTCAGTGGTGGCAAGCCACCTTTGGTGGTGGCGGCGCTGCTGCTGGCGGTGCTGGTGGTGGCGTTGGTGGCTCCTCGACGTCCAGAAGCCAGGCGGGCCGCTTTCCTCCCCAGTCGCCGGACCAAGGCTTCTCGGGGGGCGACGGAAGCAGCGGCGGCAGCAGCGGCAGACAAGCGGGCGCCGTCTTTCTGAGGCAGCAAGAGGAGGACGCCGCCGCCGCCGCCGTCTTCGGAGGAGGTGGCGGTGGCGGCGGCGGCGGTGGTGGTGGTGGGCTTCGTGGCTTTTTCCCGGCTCGCCGTGGCGGACCGTCGTCACCGTCGTCTTCGTCCTTCTCCTCCCAACAGAGGCGGCCGGGCTTCGGAGTTGACAACGGCGGCTCCTTCGCCCCTCAGGGTGCTGCGACTTTCCCACTGCACGATCCGGCTGGCGGTGGCTCATCGTCACTGCCTTCGTCGTCAGCGTTCGCGTCTCCTCAGAGGCCAGCTCCCGCGTTCCAGCCCATCCCTCGCAGAAGGCCCGATCAGCGATCGCAAGCCTCCTCCACCTTCTCCTCCCAGCGGGCGCCCTTTACCGGGCCCTCGACCTTCCTGCCCGACGAGCCCTCATTCCCCCAAGGAGCGGCAGACGGTGGCGGGGCCGTGAACCCTTTCCTTCCGCGCAACCTCGGCCCACCGCCTCCCGGCAACGTCCAGCCCTTCCCACCGCAACCCTACCCCGGCTACCCGCAGCGCGGTAGCGCCGACCAGCCCCAATACCAGCCCAGGCCTCCTCAAGGATTCTCCCAGGGCGTGCCTCCTCCGGCAGGCTACGGTCCACTCCCTGGATACCAAAACCAGGGTCAGTTCTACCCGCCGCCGCCACCGCCACCGCCGCCGCACGCTCAGCTGCGCTCCTACTACCCCACGGGCCAGGTCCAGCCGATGTCAGGGCCGTATCCTCACCTGCCGGTGCCTCAATTTGGCTACCCTGACCCGAGGCTCTACGACGGCTTCAACCACTACCTCCAGCCGCCGCCGCCGCCACCGCTGCTAGGAGTGTACCCGTTCTATCCGCGGGGAGGCCTACCCGCCGAAGTTAGCCTCGACAGATCCTTCGGCCACTTCAGAGACGGTGGTTTGGAGCAAGATGTTGCCGGTGGTGGCGGTGGAGCCGCTGCCGCCGCCGCCGCGGCCGCCGCGGCCGCTGGCCTCTCTCAGACCTTCCTCGGGGCCTCTCCAGAGGATGGCCTTGACAGGAGGTACACGGCCAGCATCTACCAAGGAAGGGGCGAGGATCAGCAGCAGCAGCCGTCGAATGAAGGTGCGGCGGTCTTCCCGGCGGCTCGGGAACCGCTCGGGGCAAGGGCGCCGGTGGAACGGAGCCAAGACGTTGTTGGGGCATCGGCGTCCCTGACTTCGTCACCTTCGGGATCGTTTGCGCAGCCCGGTGGGTCATTGAGAAGGCCTCAAGATGGACCAGGTAATAAACGATTGAAAAACTATTTCATTGATTTTCACCAGGTAAGGCCCACTGAGCTATATGGTTCTTTTTTCAGATAAAGCCACCTGGCCATCACACATGATAGCTCAACGAAGTGGCGGCATATAATCATCATCATCATCACGTGGACATTTCTAGCAACAACCTAGTACTCTTAAAGTTGGAGATGTTGATTCTGAATGTGGAGGGAGAAAAAACGGAGGGGACTCGGAGAAGAATGCACGCAGTGACGATGGGGAGTGGGGGAAGAGACGCGCAATCTCCAAATATACAGCAGCAGGTGTCAGGGTCGAGATTGAACCCACGACCTCCTGTATACCAGGCGAGGTGGTTAACATCTCACCACCGTGGCACCCAGGTAATGGTCAAGTTATTAATTAACTACAGTGGTGGATCCTAAGGGCTAGGGAGGGGGGTCGATTTAAAGCTTTCGTGACTGCAAGGATTCATCTTCTTTGGTTCTTTCGGTGAAGTCACGTAGAATGAGAATAAAATAATAAATTGATAAAATAAAATAACACAATTAAATTCTCACGACGTTTCGGCCACAACACAAGCGGCCTTACTAAGTAATTTATTACTTTATTCTCATTCTACGTGACTTTATGTTCCCCCTTTTCCATTCGAGCACCATAGATTGATAGTGTTGGTATTCACATTTAATGCGGCGGGGGGGGGGGGGGGGAGGCTCATATTTCCACGTGATGATGATAAGCTACTTCGTTGAGCCTTCATTTATAATAGCCAGGCCGTTTCTGAAAAAGAGCTATATATATAGCTTAGAAGGCTTTACCTAATAAAATGAAGAAAAAATAGGTGAATTTATCTTTTTAATTTTTAAATATAGGGGACCGATCCCACCCTGTCCTCTCTGCCACTCATCCCCTAGGTAAGTTTCTCGGTCCTCCTAAGGTCAACACTGGATATCGCAGAGTGGCAATACGACGATATATATCGTACGATATATCATCACGATATACGACAGTAAGGTCCACGATAATCGTGTTGTCCGTTTAACAAAATACCGTGATATCGAGATTATTAATGATTTGTATTTTGATTTAAATTGTAGTTCGTATATTTCAAATTTCCAAATGTTTACAAAAAAACGACAACCCCAACGATTACGCACCGGTAATCTCTCTCATTAATTGTTAACTTAATTTCGATCGCGTTTAAATCGACTAAAACCTTCCAGCTTGGAGGTTAAGGTGTTCTTAGAACCGAGGCTCTGAATCCACAGAGTGCACACCCACGTGACGTTTGCAATTGGATTCTTCCGTTTCCTCGTCCCGCGCTCGGATTGGTCCAAACCCTCTCGAAGCCCAACCAATAGGGCGAGAGGATTTTCAGTTATGGGATTTGGGATATCCTGCGTACTGCAGTGAATTCATGAATGACTTATACATCAGCTCAGTGGGCTTTTACCTGGTATGATACCAAATTTTTTAAAATATTTATTTGCGTATATTTTTTGTCAGTGGTTTGTTGACCTTTCCTGTACTTTTCACTCCTGTCGTGATTTTGTAATTGTTGTTGTAAAGTTCTGACCCCCCCCCCCGTGTCCCCTGATTAGACATCTGTGAACAAATTGCTTCATAGCTCATCGGATTCCTCCTCCAGCATAAATACATATTCTGATTCTGAAATGACCCAACTGATATTATTGATGGCAACCATCGCCCTGCCCGACTGTGAAAACGCAGAGACACGAGACTCAAGTGAGGCTTTCCTCGTGTAAACTAGCATAACAACAAATGATTACGAATATTATAAATAACTTGCAATTGCCTGTGCACGCGTGCACAGTATTTACGGGGCGAAATCGCACAAAGCGAGCCCTCGTAATGCGAGGGGATCTTCCACGGTATATACTTTTCCTCTCGAGCGCTATCGCCGGACGCGTTCATTTTTTTTCTCTTCGAAGATCCTCACAGATGGATTTGTAAGACGGGACGAACCAATCAAGGCACGCGTGAATTAACCGCCGCAAATCTGACACCGGTCGAGAGGGCCTCGGACGAGCGAGACTCACGTCAAGTGCATGACCGCCCCCCCCCTACCTCCCTCCGATCTCGCCAACGAGCCGAAACCACCATCACGCGAACTCCCGGTCATCCTCGCAGCAGCGGCGGCCGCCGCCGCCGCGGCTTTTGGCTGCTAGCCGTCGAATAAAGACGGTAGTCACTGCTGCATCGCACGCTTGCAGATGCGGTACCCCTCGGCCGTCTGGAACGCTCCTTCCTTTCCGATGTGGGAGCCACTGGGAGCTATGGACTTTTAAATCATTAGTTTAGAACCGCTTTTTATGCTGTTGCCCCCACACCTCTGATTAGCACGGTTGGCTACGTACGGTGCGAAAAAGTTAAACATACATACAGACTGCACTATGCACTACGCTATACACTACACACACTACAATACACTACACTAAACTACTATACACGACTCCACTTTTCTAAATTGAAAACTCATTTCTTTAGAACTGCTTTTTGTTTTCAGTTTGTTGTCCTTCCCCCTGCACCTCTGATTAACGTGGTTGGCTGTGCGCGGTGCGAAAGACGTTCAATGTACATACCTATGTGTGTACGAGCTAATCGGCGTTGACCTCTTGACCCGCACAGCCCTGCCGGACTTGGTGGCAGACCCCGAGTACATCCAGGCGTCCGTGTTTGTGGAGCAGAAGCCGCTCTACTCTCTGCGCTGCGCCGCCGAAGAGAAGTGTCTCGCCAGGTGAGTGCCATCGGTTGCTGTCACGACGATGATGACGCTGGCTATACGGACGTCTGTGGAAAAGGAGCTTCACAGCTCATCGGATTCCTCCGCTCGCGTCGTCGGACGCCAGTGCAGGGTTGCCCCGGCGATGTGCCGCGAGGATCGCCAAGCCCTGGCCGGGGCCCCCGCGACCGATTGGTGCCGGAAAATTCTGGCCAACATCGGGCCGACGACGTTGTGACAACGTTGGCAACAGCATCGTGACTTTGGCGCAACGTTGGGCCAACATTCTGACCAATGTTGGGGCAAAGTCGTGACAACTTTTTGGCCAACGTTGTGACAACGTCGGGCCAACGATAGGGCCAACTTTAGGTCGGGATCGAACCCACGACCTCCTGCACACCAGGCGAGGTAGTTAACATCTCCTAACCACCGCGGTGCTCCTGTTAAGGCTAAACGGGGGGGATGTCTTTGTGCGTGCGCGCGCAGCACGGCCTACGCGGCGGACGCGAAGGACGACGACATCAGGATCCTCCTGCGGTTCCCGCAGCGCGTCAAGAACGAGGGGCTCGCAGACTTCCTGCCCAACCGGCCCCGCAGCCAGTGGGAGTGGCACACCTGCCACCAGTAAGATACCTCGCCACGCACACACCTGCTGCGAGTACGACACTCGCCATGCACACCACACACACCTCTCAACCAGTAGGATGCTCGCCACACACACACACAGCTGCCACCAGTACGACGCTTGCCCACGCACAGACGCACGGCATGCACGCCACCGGCGGAGTAGCTACGCGGTGATTGCGTAGCAGACTTGTGCTACTACAACGGGACCTACGGCCCACAGCGGGCCAGGCACTGGGCCCGCGAATGCGCTGCGGCTCGCTCGGCCCCCCCCCCACCTCCCGCCCCCACCCCGCGATCCCAAGGCGAGCGTCCGCGATCGTCCCTTCGTGTTCATCCCTTGCAGGCACTACCACAGCATGGACGACTTCAGCCGCTACGACCTGTTGGACGCCCTGTCGGGACACAAGGTGGCCGAAGGACACAAGGCCAGCTTCTGTCTGGAGGACACGTCCTGCGACTTCGGCTCGCTCAAGCGTTACACGTGCTCCGCTCACACGCAGGTTCGCGCGACGGCGCAAACGCGACGAGGAAGCGAGCGACGAGGAAGCGAGCGGCGAGGAAGCGAGCGACGAGGAAGCGAGCGACGCACAATTAGCCGCGTGTCTGGGGTTGCGCGAGTTCACTGGGCAGAGCGGAGCGCTTTTCTACCGCACGACCCATGACCAGCGCAGAGCGCACATCCGATTACCGCGGTTGGGTTCGTACGGTGCGTCAGACGTTCAGCGTCCGGTACGTAATGGGGGCTAACAACGGTCCACCGAAGGAGCTGCCTCGCTGAGCGATAGGTGGGGGGGGGGGGGGTGGGGGGGGAGTTGCGGGGTGGGGGGGTGGGGCCGTGTGTCAAGATCCGGCCAATCGGAGGCGCCGCACCTTCGAGCGAAACTCGCAGGGGACCCCCGGTTGGAAGCGACGCGCGCGCTCATTGGCTGGCCGGCTGAGTGACGTCACGATGCCGCCACCGCCCGGGTGATAACGTTGCGCCGTGATGGAAAGGTCAGCGGCCCGGGTTTCGACCTCCCGGCAGTGGCGCGGCGGTTCGCGAGTCTCTGGCCCCCCCCGCCCCCCCGCCCCCCCGCCCCCCCACGTCTGGCTTGTCGGGCCGCTAACGCCGTGTCGCTTGCGCCACCGCGGACAGGGCCTGAGTCCCGGCTGCTACGACACGTACAACGCGGACATCGACTGCCAGTGGATCGACATCACGGACGTCATCCCCGGCAGATACATCCTGCGGGTAACTTGTTGAGATTCCCCACACTCCACCCAACGCACTGTTGAGGTGCGTGCAGGTTAGCGAGCACCCGTGAAGACCGGCACGGCACCGCTGCGCCTGCGGCCGCCTTTGTCTCCCCAGTTGCTTGACGCTTTTATACGCACCGCGTCAGGTGCTCAGGTAAGGCCGAGCCGACCGTTTAGCCGACACAACTGCACCACACCTCCCCCCGACACAAACTAACCCCACCTGTAACGTTACCTCTACCCCATATATTAACCCAGCTTCTAACATTACCCCATATACTAACCCAGCTTCTAACATTACCCCATATACTAACCCAGCTCTTAACATTACCCCATATACTAACCCAGCTCTTAACATTACCCCATATACTAACCCAGCTCCTAACATTACCCCATATACTAACCCAGCTCCTAACATTACCCCATATACTAACCCAGCTTCTAGCATTACCCCATATACTAACCCAGCTCCTAGCATTACCCCATATACTAACCCAGCTTCTAACATTACCCCATATACTAACCCAGCTCCTAACATTACCCCATATATTAACCCAGCTCCTAACATTACCCCATATACTAACCCAGCTCCTAACATTACCCCATATACTAACCCAGCTCCTAACATTACCCCATATACTAACCCAGCTCCTAACATTACCCCATATAAGAACCCAGCTCCTAACATTACCCCATATACTAACCCAGCTCCTAACATTACCCCATATACTAACCCAGCTCCTAACATTACCCCATATACTAACCCAGCTTCTAACATTACCCCATATACTAACCCAGCTCTTAACATTACCCCATATACTAACCCAGCTTCTAACATTACCCCATATACTAACCCAGCTTCTAGCATTACCCCATATACTAACCCAGCTCCTAACATTACCCCATATACTAACCCAGCTCCTAACATTACCCCATATAAGAACCCAGCTCCTAACATTACCCCATATACTAACCCAGCTCCTAACATTACCCCATATACTAACCCAGCTCCTAACATTACCCCATATACTAACCCAGCTTCTAACATTACCCCATATACTAACCCAGCTCTTAACATTACCCCATATACTAACCCAGCTTCTAACATTACCCCATATACTAACCCAGCTCCTAACATTACCCCATATACTAACCCAGCTCTTAACATTACCCCATATACTAACCCAGCTTCTAGCATTACCCCATATACTAACCCAGCTCCTAACATTACCCCATATACTAACCCAGCTCCTAACATTACCCCATATACTAACCCAGCTTCTAACATTACCCCATATACTAAGCCAGCTTCTAACATTACCCCATATACTAACCCAGCTCCTAACATTACCCCAAATACTAACCCAGCTCCTAGTATTACCCCATATACTAACCTGGTTTGTTGTCCTTTCCCCCGCACCTCCGATGAGCACGGTTGGCTACATACGGTGGTTTGAAATAAGTTCAACATACATACAAAGTTGACCATACAAAGAAGTTCAACATACATACAAAGTTCAACATACATACAAAGTTCACCATACAAACAAGTTCAACATATATACAAAGTTCACAATACAAAGAAGATCAACATACATACAAAGTTCACTATACAAAGAAGTTCAACATACATACAAAGTTCAACACACATACAAAGTTCACCATATGAACAAGTTCAACATACATGCAAAGTTCACAATACAAAGAAGATCAACATACATACAAAGTTCACTATACAAAGAAGATCAACATACATACAAAGTTCAACATACATACAAAGTTCACCATACAAACAAGTTCAACATACATGCAAAGTTCACCATACAAAGAAGTTCAACATACACACAAAGTTCAACATACATACAAAGTTCACCATACAAACAAGTTCAACATACATACAAAGTCAACATACATACAAAGTCAACATACATACAAAGTTCACCATACAAACAAGTTCAACATACATACAAAGTTCACCATACATACAAAGTTCACCTTACAAAGAAGTTCAACATACATACAAAGAAGTTCAACATACATACAAAGTTCACCATACAAACAAGTTCAACATACATACAAAGTCAACATACATACAAAGTCAACATACATACAAAGTTCACCATACAAAGATGTTCAACATACATACAAAGTCAACATACAAAGTTCACCATACAAACAAGTTCAACATACATACAAAGTTCACCAAACAAGTTCAACATACGTACGTTGCTACACTATCTTCCAACTCACACCCACACCACCCACGATGCCACCCCTAACTCCGAACCCCCACGCCTGTGGCCCGTGCCCCCCACCCCCGCCCAGATACACGTGAACCCCAACTACCTGGTGCGGGAGGTGGACTTCACGAACAACGTCGTGCGCTGCAACGTGCACTACACGGGGCGTGTCGTGTACGCCAACGGGTGCCGCATCACGCAGTGAGTACACGACAGCAACACAACACAGGGGGCGAAGCGTTGGGGTGGGAATTCAGTGTCAGGGGCGAGTGTTGGGCTGCCAATTCAGTATCAGGGGCGAGTTTTGGGTTGCCAATTCAGTGTCAGGGGCGAGTGTTGGGCTGCCAATTCAGTGTCAGGGGCGAGTGTTGGGGTGGGAATTCAGTGTCAGGGGCGAGTGTTGGGCTGCCAATTCAGTATCAGGGGCGAGTTTTGGGTTGCCAATTCAGTGTCAGGGGCGAGTGTTGGGCTGCCAATTCAGTGTCAGGGGCGAGTGTTGGGGTGGGAATTCAGTGTCAGGGGCGAGTGTTGGGCTGCCAATTCAGTGTCAGGGGCGAGTGTTAGGCTGCCAATTCAGTATCAGGGGCGAGTTTTGGGTTGCCAATTCAGTGTCAGGGGCAAGTGTTGGGCTGCCAATTCAGTGTCAGGGGCGAGTGTTGGGCTGCCAATTCAGTGTCAGGGGTGAGTGTTGGGCAGCCAATTTATAGTTGGGGTGAGTGTTGGGTTGCCAGAGTGTTGGGCTGCCAATTCAGTGTCAGGGGCGAGTGGCGCGGTGCAGGAACAGAGATGGAGACGGGAGTTTTGCGTTGCAGTGAAATGTAACACTGAGAGCGACACTGAGAGCGACTCACCATCCTTGAGTGCGATAACAAGGGCGAGACTCTTGTAGAATTAGTTGCACAAAGAGGGCAAGGGGGGCGATCATTTCGGACCCAGGAACGCAAGCGTCTTACCCACGAGGTCTATTGTTGCCTTGCCCAACGCGGAATTTTCCAGGAACGTAACCCCCACCCCCCGCGTTCAGCGAGGTCTGCCTGTACACAGCACCGCAGAGACGCAACTCAGAGACACAACACAAGAACACAACACAGCACGCAAGGGGCAAACATAAAATGCAACACGCAGGCACACCGTGCAAACACAACACACAGCATGCAAACACAACACACACCGTGCAAACACAACACACAGCATGCAAACACAACACACAGCATGCAAACAACACACAGCATGCAAACACAACACACACCGTGCAAACACAACACACACCGTGCAAACACAACACACACCATGCAAACACAACACACATCATGCAAACACAACACACACCGTGCAAACACAACACACAGCATGCAAACACAACACACAGCATGCAAACACAACACACACCGTGCAAACACAACACACAGCATGCAAACACAACACACACCGTGCAAACACAACACACACCGTGCAAACACAACACACAGCATGCAAACACAACACACACCGTGCAAACACAACACACAGCATGCAAACACAACACACAGCATGCAAACACAACACACACCGTGCAAACACAACACACAGCATGCAAACACAACACACACCGTGCAAACACAACACACACCGTGCAAACACAACCCACACCGTGCAAACACAACACACAGCATGCAAACACAATACACAGCATGCAAACACAACACACAGCATGCAAACACAACACACACCGTGCAAACACAACACACAGCATACAAACACAACACACAGCATACAAACACAACACACAACATGCAAACAACACACATCATGCAAACACAACACACAACGTATACTACGCGATGGGGGAGTACATGCAGGTATTGGCGACCTAAGTGTAAAACATGTCAAGATGTGTCTCGGCGCGTGTAACACATGTGTAACACACGTGTAACACACGTGTGTCACGTCTCGCCTCTCTTTTTCAGAATGTGACGGAGCTTTGGAGCGGCTTAAACGAGACAGAAGCCTGCACAAGTTATTTCGTTTTGCTAAAGTAACAAATAATTAGAATTGCAATGACGAGGGTTGTACTGTATCATCGAGAATATACTAAAACCTTAGCCATATCGTTTAAAAACAAAAAAAACAAAACTAACTTCGTCTAGAAATATTAGACAACAGTGAGTCCCGGGACTCCTGAGAACCCCATCTCCTGAGTTTCAATCAAGAACAGATTCCAAGACCCGGTCTCAATGATCCCAATACCTGATCTACACGCGTCTAAATGTTATACCCCTGATTGTGGCCTGATCAATCCGAGTCTCAATCAAAACCATGATCTTTAAATCCGGTCTTCCCCGAGTCTCGAATCAAAACTCGATCACCCCCCCCCCCTCTCTAAGCTACGAGGGGTCACGTGCCCTCGTGGCAGTGTGACCCGCAACCTAAAGTCGCTGTTCTTCACTCATTTCCAGCGGTTGCGGGCCACTTTCGCCGATAAGACATCGGTAGTGTGCGAGTGAGCGAGGGCCGCCACACATTTTGAAACCATTGGGGGTTTGGCAGCCGCACGATGGTGATGATGATGGTGCGGATGTTTTCACCATCTGTGTGTTGTCGGGGGCCGCGCTGAAGGCCACCCAGGGGCTGCGTGTGGGCCACGTGTAGGCCACGTGTAGGCCACGTGTAGGCCACGTGCGGGCCTTTGCAATGATGAAGAACGCTGCCCTAAAAGGCACCGGTAGTTTTTTTGAAACTCAACTGCTGGCGGGCAACACTCGGCCCACCCCAGGTCTACCCCCAGGTGTCTCTGCCCAGGTCTCCCCCAGGTCTTCCTCCAGGTGTCTCCCCCCAGGTGTCTCCCCCCCCAGGTGTCCTCTGCACTTGTGGATGAGCAATGTCAATGCTGGGCTGCCACACGGTTAAAGGACGGAGAACTGAACCCATACACGAGCACACGCCGTTATATATATAAACATACCGTAGGCAGTATATTTTTTACAAAGTAGGGATTTTTGTTGTTGTGGTTGTAACCTCTGCCGTTTAAACAATGTAACGCGGTCACACGGTAACGCACGACTCGCAGCAGAAGCAAATGACGCGACGCACGGACAAACGCCAGCCGAGTCCAAGGGAGCCCCGGGGCAGAAATCGCTACGCACGGCGGTCGAACTTCTTCCGCGCCGTACGTGGGCCAACCGTGCCGCCCGGAGGTGCGTGGCCAAACCCGTCCGCGGGCGAGCGTCACTTTTAGTCGTGGCGCATTCTGATCGCTCCCGGCCCACCAAGAGCGAATTTACCCGATAACCCCCCCCCCACCACACACCAAGGGGTCAGCGCATAATTCGGTTCAAATTGTAACCGCGAAAACGATTGCCACTTCAGATGGACCCCCGAGACCAAACCCTTGGCCGTGTCGCGGGCTTCGACCGAACGCGCCGAATTGACCGCGGTGCGGTTGGCCCATCGTGTGCCGCCGCCGCCGCCGCCGGCCCGCCCGCCCGCCACACCCCGCGTCTCGACCGTCCGCGGTCGGCCGCGAGGTTCCCGCACGGCATCGCGACTGCCCCGCTCGCGACGATGTTGCACGCCGAAATTTCCTTGGCACCGCACGTGGCCAATCGGCGGGAGGGGGACGAGCTCGAACGCACGCACAAAGCGGAAGAACACAAACGTGGCACCGTCTTGTCCCTTCGTCTGTGTCCTCCGTCCTGTCTCCCAAGAGGCCCGTCGCGTGTCCCAGGCCACGTGGTGGTCCCCTGCCTCCAGCGACGTTGTCGCCGCGAGGTTCGGGCGCCCGCGATTTGCGAGGTGAAACACGCGGCGTAACACGACCCACGCGGCGTAACACGACCCACGCCATCATTCTTATTTGTGTTCTATATACAGTGACCGCACGAGTCACATTTAACGCGCAGAAAATATTAATGGTACTGTTACGTAAGCACACTTGCCGTTTGATGACTGGGTTGACGGAGGGTAACGTTGAACGGAAGGAGGGGGTAGGGAGGGTGGTCGTATTACGAACCGGGAACTAAACTCCAAGCTTTCCCATTTGTCTTTTGAGTTTACGGTGGCTAGGAGATGTCATCTCCCTCGCCTGGTATGCAGGAGGTCGTGGGTTCGATCCCGACCCCGTCGCCTGCTCTATATTTGGAGTTTCCATGTCTCCCCATAGTCGCGTGGATTCTTCTCTCCAGGTCCTCTGGTTATTCCCTCCACATTTAGAATCAACAAGTGCGTTTAGAGTATTTGGTAGCTGTACATTTCCACATGCTGATAGGCCATTTCGTTGAGCAATCATTTGTGATGGGCAGGTCGCTTCTGAAAATTAACTATATAGCTCAGTGGGCCCTTACCTGGTAAAATAAAACATAATTTAGTTTAGTATGGGTGTATATAAAAAAAATGAAACCACACACGAGCCGTCAAGCGTTAATTAACCCTTTCCCATTCCGATGACATACATGTAATGTAGACCTCGCGTACACGTAACGACATCGGTTTTTCTTCCGGTTCCGTTCCCATGACGTACACGTAACATACACGTAACGTCATCAGAACTGGATCGGAACAAAAACTAAAATAAGATCACTCTGCTTAACACGTAGGCTTTCGCGACCAACATCATCCATAATACACGGTTTATTTTATACCTGTATTATAAAATAACTCTGCCGGTACCGAGGCTCTCACAAGCCCATGCGGGGAAGGTCTGTGTAGGGCGCAGCTTGGCCGCCGGCTATCGTAGAGTGGCGGCGGTCGTGTCGCTACGGTTGGTTCTGATGTACGACGTCTCTAAAAAGCAACGGCGTTGCTGCTACGCCTCTAAATAAAACTCAATGCCGAGCAGTTCACGCGTTCCGAGATTCGGTGGTGAACGGGGACACCCACCCACTCGCCCGCACGCCCTGCGACCTGCAGGCGGTCTCGGACACCACGGGGGTGGGGGGGGGACACAAAGGGTGGTTATAAAAAGCCGGACAAAATTGTCTCCCTCTTTCGTTTAAAACGTAAAACAAAAATTTGGCGGCATCACCGCACACGGTGGTGGGGGGTGGCGAGGGACAGCCGATGGAGCTGATATCAGCCACTGATGACGATTATATCAGCCACTGTGGTGACGATATCAGCCACTGCGATGACGATATCTTCCACTGTGATATCAGCCAATGCAATGGCGATATCAGCCACTGTGGTGACGATATTAGCCACTGCTAACATCATCTTCATCGTCATCTTCTTCACATCACCACATCGCTATCATCAGCCATCTTCACATCATCATAATCGCATCATAGTTATCAATCATAATCAAAATCTTCACATCAACACCACAATGATCATCTTCACATCACAAATCATTGATTATCATCACGCCACAGTATCACCATCACAATCATCATCAATGACATTATCATTACCACACTGAGCAATAATGAAACCACCATCGCCATCTCTTCGTAATTCTCAAATCATTGTCGCAAAGCAACGAGTCATCCCATGGACCCACCGGCCCTCGCCAGGGTAATGTGGAATTCCCCGCGACGGCTGAGGCCCACCAGTGGAGACGACGCTCGTCCGTGGAGGGAGCCCCCCGCTTTTATTTTCTTTTGCGAGGTAAAGGCGCAGCCCCTGCAATTGCCCGGTCCCTACACTGCCGGCAGAAGGGGGCTCCCCACTGGGAAGGGAGCTCGACACAGTGCCCCCTCCTCCCGAGGCAGGGTATCCGTTCCTTCGCTACCACGCCGAGCAGACGTCTTAAGAGGAGGCTGCACGGGGGAGGGGTAACCCACACCTTGCCGCACCACACGGGACCTGACGATCGACCGACTGCGGTGAACCCATTCAAATAATTGCGGAGTGGACAAGCGGTGGGAGGGAGGAATTTAATGAACTTGGGGCACCGGCGGTGGCTAGGAGATGTCGTCTCCCTCGCCGGGTCTACAGGAGGTCGTGGGTTCGATGCCCACCCTGACGCCTGCTGCTGTATATTTGGAATCTGCGTCTCTCTCTCTCCCCGTGAATTCTTCTCCGGGCACTTCGGGTTTCCCCCATCCACATTTGAAATCAACGTCACGCATTTAGACAGTAATTTGACTGCTAGAAATTTCCACGTGATGATGATGAGCCACTTCGTTGCGCTATCATTTGTGACAGCCAGGTCGCTTCTTGTAAACAAGAGCTGTGTGGCTCAGTGGGCCTTACACCTGGCAAAATAAAAAAAGTTTTGCTTTAATTTGTCCCGTTGCTTCAACTGCCACGCCGGTGGGAGATGGAATCTAGATGGAATTTAACCGGCGACCTCGAGATCGCAAGTCCTGCGTGGTAACCATCACACCGGCACAACGTCCAAAACGGTCTGGGAGCACATCGCTCTCTCAAAACCACGCGGCTCAATCACTGCCGCCCCTTCAATTGCTTTGTCCACATCCCAAGCGAGCACTTGGGCAGCGAGGGGGCGTGGCCCAAGTCCCCAGCCGACCACGCCCCTCTTCCTGGGATGGCCACGGCCCTCTTCCTGGGATAGCTCCACCCCTTCCCTCTCCCCCGCCCACCAACCCCCCAATCAACGTCAGGATCGTAACGACCAATCGCGCTTTCACAAACGGCGTCGCTCGGCGATGACGACGACGACGACGATCCTCCGCCAAAACGTCACCGGCGCCGCAAGAGCTGCCCCTCCGCACGCAAAGCGATTCAGTTGCACACAACAGACTCGCTTCGCAACCGATTGCTCGCAACCGATTGCTCGCAACCGATCGCTCCAGCTCCAACCGTCGCCACGGCCGCCGCATCTCTCCCCCGCGTCGGTCCTTCAGTCGTCAAACTTGATCTTCTTGCCGGCAAACTCGGGGATTTTGCCCAGCTGCTCCTTGCGCTTGCGGCTCGCTTCCCACGACGGGTGGAGGCTGCCCGTCGGCAGCGTTGCCCGTTGCCCGTCCGGAGCGCCCCTACTACCGCCGCCGGCGCCACCCGCACCCCGCGGGCCCCCCCGAGCGGGGAGCCTGCCAGCTCCCCTACGTCCGCCGGCAGAAGCGGAGGCTCCTGAATCAAAAGTAAAAATGAGCAAATTATTAGTTGCGAGAGCGTAATAATATCAGTGTGAATATTTGCATACACGAAAAAATCCAAAAATCCCCCGTATAGCCTTTAATCGTTTTTTTTATCATGGGACCCTTTTTGCCAGTGTCAAATTAATAAGAATAGGTTGTACCCTTACTGGCAATAAAACAGGTGTTCAGATGTTCAAACACCAGATACTTTTTGCAAGGAATCAAGTACTGCATTAACCACACACCGTACTTGTGGTGAACATGCAGACGAAACACGCTCTGACAAATCTCTGACGCGTTGTCTTTGAAACCGATTGGCCTACACCAGACTCGGCAGCCTCCTTGATGTCCCAGTCTCACCACCAGCGTCAGTGCAGAGAACAACGCCACAAGGCGAACAGCACAAAGACAATGCCACACGTGTCAGAGCATTCATAGCTCGGGGTGAACATCTTAACACCTTCTGTTTTATTTCCAGAAAGGGTAAAACCTCTTCTTATTTCTCGCAGGAGGTTTCACTGTTGTGTTAGAGCGCGTAAAAACTTGTCGTTAAACCCGCCAACCAGCCCGAAACAGACAATGAAACAAAACCTGTCAATTCATGACTAGTTCAGCACACCGGTTGCGTGTTGGAGAGTTAAACCCACGACGTTTACAATTCGAGTGCCGTGGCGTTTCGCCGGTGATTACAACGACAGCAGCCAGCATCATCAGGCGACAGCCAGAGCGTTGTGGGGAAATCCTCCTGCTGTTTGGGTCTTAAACAGCGCGGGTGAAAGTGACGTCGACACTTGTGAGCCAATCAGGTGCGAGGACCAGACGGGGGGGGTGTCCATGCAGTCTTAGAAATTACAATGGATATCGATTATAATTGGATATCAATTCTAATTGTTTTCCATTGTAATCGAGTAAACATATAACCCAACTAATAATTATTACCAATAAAATTAATAACAATTATTACCAATAATAATTATTGATAATAATGAATAATTATTATCAATAATAATTAATAGTAATTAGTTGCCAATAATAATGAATAATTATTATCAATAATTAATAATTATCAATAATAATTATTAGCAATTAATTATTATCAATAATTAATAATTTATTATTATCAATAATAATTAATCATATTTATTAGTTGGGTTATCTATTTACACAATATAACGTTGGATAACGTTGGTCGTGAAAGCCTGCGTGTTCAACTGCAACGGACTGTTGGGGCAAGTGCTGTTAGCGAGCAGCGGCACACGAGGAGGTGGGTGGCCAGCACCACGCCCGGCCTCCCCGCCACCTTTGTCTCCCCGGTTGGCGATGTCTGCACGCCCAGCACGGTGAACCGAGTAGTTTGCCTCCCGCGTGGTGTGACACTCAAGCCGGCAAAGTCTACTTTACAGACAAGATGATGACGCCTTTAGAAGAGCCGTGACTGGTATACTACAAACTATTTTAACTATTTTGTTTTACCAGGTAAGGCCCACTGAGCTAGGTAGCTCTCTTTGTACCTCGCCACAAATTATTAATCAACGAAGTGGGCTTATCACCATCGTGTGGACATTTCTAGCAGCCAAATACTCTAAAACGCGTGACGTTGATTCTAAATGTGGAGGCAAAAACCGGAGGCCGCGGAGAAAAATCCACGCAACCACGGAGAGAGTGAGAGACACGCAAACTCCAAATATACAGCAGCAGCAGGCGTCAAGGGTAGGGATCGAGCCCACGGCCTCCTGTGTACCAGGCGAGGTAGTTAACATCTCCTAGCCACCGTGATGATGATGAGAGAGAGACACGCAAACTCCAAATATACAGCAGCAGGCGTCAGGGTTGGGATCGAGCCCACGACCTCCTGCATACCAGGCGAGGTAGATAACATCTCCTAGCCACCGTGATGATGATGAGAGAGAGACGCAAACTCCAAATATACAGCAGGCGTCAGGGTTGGGATCGAGCCCACGACCTCCTGCATACCAGGCGAGGTAGTTAACATCTCCTAGCCACCGGGGCACCCCGATCGGTGATGATGTGCAAGGCGAGTGTCTCGCCAGCCTGCACGCGATGGAACGCGGTGTCGGTGAGGGGGGGCGGGGGTGTAACGCGACGGGTGGAGAGGCCGTACCTGGGTAGGGTTTGCGGTCTTTGCCCGATGGAAAGTGTTTGCTACGAGAGAAACGGGAGAATAGTGAACGTGTCGGTTAGTGCCGAAATACTTTCTTTTTCTTGACATGCGTTTGCGTGCAAGCGCGCACACACACACAGACACGCCCTCCTCCCCCCTTCCTGTGTAGCCTACACAGGCTGTAGGGGCAAGTGGTGTGAGTGAGCAGCGCCGAACCTAGGAGAACGGCTCTGAGTATATAAACTAAACTTTTTTTTTAACGCTATTTTTACTTTTTATTTTACCAGGTAAGGCCCACTGAGCTGTACACCTCTTTGTTGATAGAAGAAAGCTGGCGATTACAAATGATAGCTCAACGAAGTGGCTTATCATCTTGTGTAAATGTATAGCGGCCAAATACTATTAAAAGCATGTTTATGAATGTGGAAGGAAAAACCGGAGGATCTGGAGCAAAATCCACTCGAGCACAGGGAGAGAGCCACAAACTCCAAAATTACAAGAAACGTCAGGGTCGGGATGGAACTCACGATCTCCTGGATACCAGGTGAGGTAGTTAACATCTCGCCGCTCGCATTCTCCCACCACGCGCTCACCCACCACGCGCTCACCCACCACGTGATCACCCATCAGGCACTCACCCACAACGCGCTCACCCACCACGTGATCACCCATCAGGCACTCACCCGCGTCCGCCCTTCGCTCCCCGCGACTCCCCGAGGCTGCAGAACTGCGTCTTCATCCCCGCTCGGCCTCCCGGCCTTCGGCGCTGCGCCCGCCCTCGCCCGACGCCTCCATCGCCGCCGCCATCATCGCCGCCGCCATCGCCGCCGCCATCATCGCTGTCACTCCGGTCACCACCTCGCAGTGCGCCGCTTTCCTTCCGCCGCCTCTTCCCCCTCCTCCTCCCGGGCCCCCCCCGTCGCACTTTCCCGATGAAGAAATCGTCGTCTTCGCTCTCGTCGTCTTCGCTATCGTCGCCGTCGTCGTCGTCGCCGCCGCCACGCCGGCCCGCGCCCTGACCCCCGAGGCCCGTCTGCCTGCGGCAGAACCGCTCCTCGGTGCTGTCGTCAAACTCGGGCTCCGGCGGCGGCGGAGTCGTCGGTTCGTCGCTCGCGACGTCACCGGCGGCCGCGGGGGCCGGGCGCCCGTCTCCGCTCGGCCCCACGCGGCCGCCAGACGGCGCCGCCGTCGCCACCGCCGCAGAAGAGCCTCCGGTCGCCCTGACGCTCGCTCGCCGGATTGGCGTTCTCCCTTGGCTCGCGCCAGCCACGCTCGACGCGCCTCTCTCTGCTCTCCCGACAATCGCTCCGCTCTCCTCGCTCTTGCCGACCCGGCGCAGTCGCGCTCCGTTCGCCGTCTGCGTGTTCACGCTCTCTTCTCTCTCTCCTCCTTCGTCCGAACTCTCCCCCACGCTCTCCCCGGCAATCTCCCCCACGCTCTCCCCCACGCTCTCCCCCGCGCTCTCCCCCTCGCTCTCCCCGGCAATCTCCCCGGCAATCTCCCCCACGCTCTCCCCCACGCTCTCCCCCACGCTCTCCCCCTCGCTCTCCCCCGCGCTCTCCCCCTCGCTCTCCCCCGCGCTCTCCCCGGCAATCTTCCCCTCGCTCTCCCCCGCGCTCACCCCCTCGCTCTCCCTGGCGCTCTCCCCCTCGCTCACCCCCTCGCTCTCCCCCCTCGCTCTCCCCCTCGCTCTCCCCCTCGCTCTCCCCGGCGCTCTCCCCCTCGCCAGGCCTCGGGGAAGCCTTGCTGTCGTCTGGCTCCGTTGCGCGTGCCGCTTTGAACGAGTCGAGGGCGGCTGTGAAATAAATAATAATAAAAAAACGTCGTACCGCGTGCTGTACAGGTCAACCACATCAACGTTAAACGCGCACACACACAAACAATATACGCAAAGTCCTCACGTACTGCGTGTTCACTTTTCGCACGTGGAACGTGTACACCATTACAACCAGGTACACGCGCACACCGTTAATGTTGTGGCTTGGCTCTCCAACACACCGGTGTGCTGTACTCGTGATTAGTGACGAATTGGCCACGTTCTGTTTACGTGACAACCCTTACTAGTTGGCTGTGTCGGGTGGTGGCGGGTTTCATGACACATTTATGTATTTACGATCTAACCCAAAAACACCTGTATTATATTATGGATGCTATTGGTCGCAAAAGCCTACGCGTTAAACCAAAAACAATAAGTCTTAGATTTAATTTAGAGTGCCTCCGACACACCCAATGTGAGCACCCCCCCCCCCCCTCCCTGTGAGATGCTCGCTCCACGCCCACCCTTAATGTTGTCGATCTTGGCCCTGATGAGCGGGAAGGAGGAGAGTCTCGCCAACGCACGCTCCCTCGCCGTCGAATTGTCCTGGGGGGGGGGGGGGGGGGGGTAGGAATGACAGGCGCATCACCATCACTGGCATCGTCAACGTCACCACCGCCATCATCTCCATCACAACCACCATCATCATCTCCATCATGACAACCACCATCATCTCTATCATGAAATCCATAATCATCATCACCATAATCACCCGCTACCACTATCATCTTTATTATGCCCATCGCTATACTTATTATCATTCAAGTAACCATTATCATGACCATCATGCCACCTTTATTAATCACGAGCATCATTAGCAACACCACCACTAACAACAATCACACGATTACGACTAACAACAGGATCGTCATCAACGTCGACAGACCGGTTCCCGACAGGGTCACTCGACCCAAACAAACAACAGACCAGCAGACCGCTGGTTGAACGGTGATTTAAAATACCACTTTTTAAACAGATTACAAAAAAAACAACAACAAAGAACACGTTTTTACCTTCTTGCACACCGACTCAAACGTGATGTTCTCGTAAAGAGCGGTCTTTGAAACCGTGTCCGGATCTAAATCCTGTAAAAGACAATCGCAACGATCGTGACGAGCCTCATCCGATTCATTTGTCTGCGTAATTCCGGGCGACCTTTTCCCGTCGAGGAACGTAAACCATCGCGGGCAGCCTCTGCTCATCCTACGCAGCAGTGGCTTTGTGACGAATCCATTCAACAAAAGAGCTATATGCACGTATGTATGTTGAACTTCTTTCGCACCGTACGTAGCCAATCGTGCTAATCGGAGGAGCGGGGGGGGGGAAGGACAAGAAACTAAACACAACAAAAAAAACTGTTCTGAATACCTTAATTTGTCAATGTAGGTGATTTAAAAGTGCATCACAGCTCCCAGTAGTTTTCCTTATATCGGAAGGAACGTTCCAGACGGCCGCAGAAGCGCACCTGAAAGCGCCGCGCGATCATGCGGTGGTGACCAGCGTCTTTATTCGATGGCTTTTGCCCTGTTGACGCTCTTTGTAGTTTAATTCAGGTTGTTTTCGTTTCAAGGGTTAGCGCTGCAGGGACCGATTCGTGTTGACTCTTCAAAGAGGTCCCCCGAGACATCGTTCGGATCGCCTTCTTCTAGGGACACTCGAGGTCAAGGTTCTGTTCCTGTGGGGCTGATCGGGATTTCTGCCAAAGCATTGTGCAGCTGCTAAGTTTTGGACCAAAGCTTCGTGCCTTTGTCGAATAACACAACCATAGTCGTTAGGCGGATTTAGGTCTGTGTTGAAAACTCACCTGACCTTTACTGCTGCTTAGTTCTGGCCATGTGGGAGAGTGAGTGGGTGAGTGGGTGGATGAGTGAGTGGGTGGGTGAGTGGGTGGATGAGTGAGTGGGTGGGTGAGTGGGTGAGTGGGTGAGTAGGTAAACTGGCCTTCAGCCCCTGCCTGGTTCTGGCCATCTACCCTGGTTCTGAGCGTGTGCGTGAGGAGTGTAGAGGTCAGCGTTCTGCTACGCTATGAACCTGGCGACCCGAGTTCGATTCCCGCTGATGGCCACCAACACCAGTGATGATTAATTTGAACCGGTGCTGGGCCTCCCCGAGGTCGACTCAGCCTCAAATGAGTAGCCTGGTGCAATGTGTAAAACGCGGCCATGAGGAAGACAAAGGCGGTCGTGCGTGGTGTTGGTCACCTACCTCCTCTTGTACCGAGCCGGCCTTCATAGATGCTACTCACCAACAGCACTTGCCCCAACAGTCTGTTAAGGGGCCATCCATTTAGTAGGTACGCAAAAATCTGTCAAAACTTGACTCCTCCCCACCTCTCCCTGTACGCACGCGGACTTTTTACACCCCCTCCCGAATCCTATAGAATGGCCGCTATTTAATCCACGCAGAAATTATCAAGGATTAATAATATTAACGTGTTTAGGCAAACAGATAGTCCACCGCCGGCTGCATTATTATAGAGGCTTCACCCCCCACCCCCCCCCGTTTCCTATGCGTACGTACATTGTCAGTAGACCCCAAATACGCAAGCGTACTCATTTGGGTTAACCCCCCCCCCCCCTCCATGCGTACTTACTAAACGGATGGCCCCTAAGGCTACACGGGGGATCTGTGTCTTTGTGCCGGTAAATACGTTTCTTGTGTTTGTTTTCCCGGGGCCCCCAACTCACCTTAACAGCATCGATTTCCTCCAAAAGCCGGTTCACTCTCCGGGCATTCTTTTGCAAATCTTCCTCCGAGCCCCTACGATGTATGGGGGCCGTAAGAACGTAAGCAAAGGACATTGGCATCCAAAACTTCCTATTGGCAGGAAAATGTGCCTGTGTTTTAAGAGCCACAAACATTAATGTGGTCAGCCAGCTTATCTGTGGTGTTGGCTCAGTGTCCCTGCTATGGCCACTGGGAACCCTCTGAAAGACAGAGGCTACCAGTCTCAGGGTGTGAACCCAGGCTCTTTGTGGTGTTGGCTCAGTGTCCCTGCTATGGCCACTGGGAACCCTCTGAAAGACAGAGGCTACCAGTCTCAGGGTGTGAACCCAGGCTCTTTGTGGTGTTGGCTCAGTGTCCCTGCTATGGCCACTGGGAACCCTCTGAAAGACAGAGGCTACCAGTCTCAGGGTGTGAACCCAGGCTCTTTGTGGTGTTGGCTCAGTGTCCCTGCTATGGCCACTGGGAACCCTCTGAAAGACAGAGGCTACCAGTCTCAGGGTGTGAACCCAGGCTCTTTGTGGTGTTGGCTCAGTGTCCCTGCTATGGCCACTGGGAACCCTCTGAAAGACAGAGGCTACCAGTCTCAGGGTGTGAACCCAGGCTCTTTGTGGTGTTGGCTCAGTGTCCCTGCTATGGCCACTGGGAACCCTCTGAAAGACAGAGGCTACCAGTCTCATGGTGTGAACCCAGCTTATCTGTGGTGTTGGCTCAGTGTCCCTGCTATGGCCACTGGGAACCCTCTGAAAGACAGAGGCTACCAGTCTCAGGGTGTGAACCCAGGCTCTTTGTGGTGTTGGCTCAGTGTCCCTGCTATGGCCACTGGGAACCCTCTGAAAGACAGAGGCTACCAGTCTCAGGGTGTGAACCCAGGCTCTTTGTGGTGTTGGCTCAGTGTCCCTGCTATGGCCACTGGGAACCCTCTGAAAGACAGAGGCTACCAGTCTCAGGGTGTGAACCCAGGCTCTTTGTGGTGTTGGCTCAGTGTCCCTGCTATGGCCACTGGGAACCCTCTGAAAGACAGAGGCTACCAGTCTCAGGGTGTGAACCCAGGCTCTTTGTGGTGTTGGCTCAGTGTCCCTGCTATGGCCACTGGGAACCCTCTGAAAGACAGAGGCTACCAGTCTCAGGGTGTGAACCCAGGCTCTTTGTGGTGTTGGCTCAGTGTCCCTGCTATGGCCACTGGGAACCCTCTGAAAGACAGAGGCTACCAGTCTCATGGTGTGAACCCAGGCTCTTTGTGGCGTTGGCTCAGTGTCCCTGCTATGGCCACTGGGAACCCTCTGAAAGACAGAGGCTACCAGTCTCAGGGTGTGAACCCAGGCTCTTTGTGGCGTTGGCTCAGTGTCCCTGCTATGGCCACTGGGAACCCTCTGAAAGACAGAGGCTACCAGTCTCAGGGTGTGAACCCAGGCTCTTTGTGGTGTTGGCTCAGTGTCCCTGCTATGGCCACTGGGAACCCTCTGAAAGACAGAGGCTACCAGTCTCAGGGTGTGAACCCAGGCTCTTTGTGGTGTTGGCTCAGTGTCCCTGCTATGGCCACTGGGAACCCTCTGAAAGACAGAGGCTACCAGTCTCAGGGTGTGAACCCAGGCTCTTTGTGGTGTTGGCTCAATGTCCCTGCTATGGCCACTGGGAACCCTCTGAAAGACAGAGGCTACCAGTCTCAGGGTGTGAACCCAGGCTCTTTGTGGTGTTGGCTCAGTGTCCCTGCTATGGCCACTGGGAACCCTCTGAAAGACAGAGGCTACCAGTCTCAGGGTGTGAACCCAGGCTCTTTGTGGTGTTGGCTCAGTGTCCCTGCTATGGCCACTGGGAACCCTCTGAAAGACAGAGGCTACCAGTCTCAGGGTGTGAACCCAGGCTCTTTGTGGTGTTGGCTCAGTGTCCCTGCTATGGCCACTGGGAACCCTCTGAAAGACAGAGGCTACCAGTCTCAGGGTGTGAACCCAGGCTCTTTGTGGTGTTGGCTCAGTGTCCCTGCTATGGCCACTGGGAACCCTCTGAAAGACAGAGGCTACCAGTCTCAGGGTGTGAACCCAGGCTCTTTGTGGTGTTGGCTCAGTGTCCCTGCTATGGCCACTGGGAACCCTCTGAAAGACAGAGGCTACCAGTCTCATGGTGTGAACCCAGGCTCTTTGTGGCGTTGGCTCAGTGTCCCTGCTATGGCCACTGGGAACCCTCTGAAAGACAGAGGCTACCAGTCTCAGGGTGTGAACCCAGGCTCTTTGTGGCGTTGGCTCAGTGTCCCTGCTATGGCCACTGGGAACCCTCTGAAAGACAGAGGCTACCAGTCTCAGGGTGTGAACCCAGGCTCTTTGTGGTGTTGGCTCAGTGTCCCTGCTATGGCCACTGGGAACCCTCTGAAAGACAGAGGCTACCAGTCTCAGGGTGTGAACCCAGGCTCTTTGTGGTGTTGGCTCAGTGTCCCTGCTATGGCCACTGGGAACCCTCTGAAAGACAGAGGCTACCAGTCTCAGGGTGTGAACCCAGGCTCTTTGTGGTGTTGGCTCAATGTCCCTGCTATGGCCACTGGGAACCCTCTGAAAGACAGAGGCTACCAGTCTCAGGGTGTGAACCCAGCTTATCTGTGGTGTTGGCTCAGTGTCCCTGCTATGGCCACTGGGAACCCTCTGAAAGACAGAGGCTACCAGTCTCAGGGTGTGAACCCAGGCTCTCTGATACGGCCATTATGACCCCCCCCCCCCACTCCGGAGTCGTGCCTGGAGCCTTACTTTTTCTTCCTCAGCCCAGCGAGGGAGCGAGTGAGTTTCCGCACAACGAGAATCTTCACTTTCCTCACGTCCTTCCTCATCCCCACAATCTGGAGACACGGGCAAACATACGCGCAGCAGCGGCAGCAAGGCAGCCCGTGAGACATTGTTGCTGGTCCTGTTGCTGACCGAAAAGGTCGCGCTCAATACACACAAAGATCTTGCCGCAAATGCACCACAATAACTCGGCTGATCTCGTCAAGGGGCGTAAAACACCATCACGCGAACTCCGCTCATCCACGCAGCAGCAGCAGCAGCGGCGGCTTTTCAGATGTACTTCTGCGGCCGTCTGGAACGCTCTCCCTTCCGATATTAGGAAGCCACTGGGAGCTGTAAATTTATACATCTAGATTTAAAACTCATTTCTTTATAACTGTTTTTTAAATGTTTAGTTTGTCCTTCCCCCGCACCGCCTATCAGCAGCAACGTACGGCACGAAAAAAGGTCCAACATGCATACGTATTCATGAGTTGGTATGAAGGTCGTGGGGCGGGGTCCATCCCGACCCTGACACCTGCTGTATAAAGTTTATATATGTATAAAGTTTATATATAAAGTTTATATATGTATAAAGTATATATATAAAGTTATATGTATAAAGTTTATATATAAAGTTTATATATGTATAAAGTTATATGTATAAAGTATCTATAAAGTTATGTGTATAAAGTTATGTGTATAAAGTTATATGTATAAAGTTATATGTATAAAGTATATATAAAGTTATGTGTATAAAGTTATGTGTATGAAGTTATATGTATAAAGTTATATGTTTCGATTTAAAGCTTTCGTGACTGCAATGATTCATCTTCTTTGGTTCTTTCGGTAAAGTCACGTAGAATGAGAATAAAATAATAAATTGATAAAATAAAATAACACAATAATATTCTCACGACGTTTCGGCCACAACACAAGCGGCCTTCATCAGGTGAAGGGGCGAGACTGATGAAGGCCGCTTGTGTTGTGGCCGAAACGTCGTGAGAATATTATTGTGTTATTTTATTTTATCAATTCATTATTTTATTCTCATTCTACGTGACTTTACCGAAAGAACCAAAGAAAAAGTTATATGTATAAAGTTATATGTATAAAGTTATATTATAAAGTTTATATGTATAAAGTTTATATATGTATAAATGTATAAAGTTTGCGCGTCTCTCTCTTCCTGTGGTCGCGTAAATTTGCCTCCGTCTGTTTAACACGTAGGCTTTCGCGACCAATATTATTCATAATAAAGGTTTTTGGGTTAGATCGCGTTTATTTATAAATGTGTCGTAACCCTCCACCACCCGACACGGCCAATCAGCAAAGAAAAGTGTCACGTCAAAGAAAAGTGTCACGTCAACGTGACACTTTTCTTTGCTGATTGGCCGTGTCGGGTGGTGGAGGGTTACGACACATTTATAAATAAACGCGATCTAACCCAAAAACCTTTATTATGAATTGCCTCCGTCTCCTGCGGTGTGGCCCGCCACATTTAGAATCAACATCATCACGCGTGTATATGGAGATATATTTGGCTACTGCTTTACATTTCCCACGCGTTGACGATGATGACGAGAAGCCCACTTCGTTGAGCTATCAATTGTGATATCCAGGACGCTTCTGATTAAAAAAAAATAGCTACATGGCAGCTCCTGGTAAAATATGAAATTGTTTAGTTCACGAGAGGTATTGGCGGATGTCTCAGCCAGCAGTAGATTCAGAACGTCCGATAGTGATATTATTGAATAATGATTTAAAGCTTTCGTGACTGCAAGGATTCATCTTCTTTGGTTCTTTCGGTAAAGTCGCGTAGAATGAGGACAGTCTCTCGTCCCTTCACCTGTTGAAGGCTGCTTGTGTTGTGGCCGAAACGTCGTGAGAATATTATTGTGTTATTTTATTTTATCAATTTATTATTTTATTCTCATTCTACGTGACTTTACCGAAAGAACCCAAGAAGATTATTGAATAAGTTACCTTGATTTGGGCAGGACCCGTCATGCTAGTCACATTGCTACGCACAAAGCCGGTGCAGCAGCAGAATGCATCGGAATAAGGCGCTCTGTAAATCTACACAGGATCGGAACGAGAAGGAATATTGTTGAAACGTGATGCCATCACATCTACCCCTCTATTTAAGAAACGGAACGGGAGGATTTCTCCACAAATCTGCCTGTCGCTAGTTGTAATTACTGGCGAAACGTCGAACACTCAGATTGTAAATGTTGTGGCTTAGCTCTCCAACACACAACCGGTGTAGTGCTGTACTAGTGACGAATTGGCCACGTTCTGTTTACGTGACAACCCTTGCTAGTTGGCTGTTTAACGACACATTATATATTTACGCGATATAACCACCCCCAAAAAAACCTCCCCTGTATTACGGAATGTTGCAACGTCTGTGCTTCCCGCCGTCACCAACCCGCACTGAGCAGCCTGGTGAAGTATGGTCAAAATAACATCCCCACACAAGCGTGGTGGGAGGCCCTCATCCAGCAGTGGAGTCACCAAAGCAAAGATCCCCCGTATAGCCTTCGAACAGACTTTTGCGGCAAGTGCCGTTAGCGAGTCGCAGCACCTATGAGGGCCGACGCGGTACACGAGTGAGGGTGGCCAGCATCACCACCACCACGCCCGGCCGCCTTTGTCTCCCTTAGTGGCGATGTTGACTGCACGCCGCACCAGCTACGCACGCGTGAAGTCCTCACCTCGTTATTCACAATCATGGGCTTCGCCATTGTTCGCTCTACGAGGCGCGAAGTTGGGCAAGTGTGCAAACTTAAGCCGGGTCTATTTTGCGAAGAAGATTAAACGTTTTATGTTAACGTGTAAAAAAAAATTGGATTTTAATTCGCAATGCGTTTAAACTGGACACGTGTGCGCGCGAACACACACACACACGTGCTACGAACTTCCGATCCCATTTTAAACCAGCCCGGATGGAAACACCAAACGGAACAAATAATAGTTCCGGTTCGTGGGTAAACTGTAAACATTTTTGATTAAGTTGGTTCATACATCTTTGAAACGGTCATATAACAGATGCCACAATGTCGTTTTAACTTTTCATTGCAGTGTCAATGGAAATATTATGCTATATGGGGGTGGGGGGCGTTGTAATTTATATGACCGGGGGAAATAAAAAAAGGTTCCGGACTGGTTGTAAAGTCACTTAGAAGCCACATAAGCCAACAGACATTCGCCAAGAACGCCGTGTGAACGATGAGCGACGTTTCGGTCAACGCCCCTTTTGCACAGCACATACATTCACTAGCCTACTTGAACGTAATTCTCTCATTATGCCCCATGGTGTTGAGTGCAGCCTCATATGTTCGATTGGCCCACTCTATGTTGCTGCGGAGAAGGGTCATTGCCCGAAACGTCGCATGTTATATATTTTACCCCTCCCCCTCCTCCCCGTCTCTCTCTTAATTAATGCACACGCGTTAACCCGAATCGAAGAATCGATTCGACACCTGCAGCCGCTAGAGGTCGCTGCATTCACCGCAAGAGAAATGAGGAATGATGAAAATCAAAACCTTTATGAAGATTGGAGGAATCCGATAAGCTATGAAGGTATTTTTTTTACGGATGTCAAGTAAAGGTGGGTTAGCAATAATCGATTATTTGCTCGAGATGTTAACTACCTCGCCCGGTATACAGGAGGTCGTGGGTTCAATCTCTAACCTGACGCCTGCTGCTGCTGTATATTTGGAGTCTGCGTGTCTCTCTCTCTCATCATTATCACGGTGGCTATGAGATGTTAACTACCTCGCCTGGTACACAGGAGGTCGTGGGTTCAATCTCTAACCTGACGCCTGCTGCTGCTGCTGTATATTTGGAGTCTGCGTGTCTCTCTCTCTCTCATCATCATCACGGTGGCTATGAGATGTTAACTGCCTCGCCCGGTATACAGGAGGTAGTGGGTTCGATCCCTATCCTGACGCCTGCTGCTGCTGTATATTTGGAGTCTGCGTCTCTTATCTCTCTCCCCGTGGCCGCGTGGATTTTTCTCCGGGGCCCTGCGGGTTTCTCCTCCACATTTAGAATCAACGTCACCACGCGTTTCGAGTGTTTGGCTGCTGCTGCTGTAAATTTCCACACGACGATGATCAGCCGCCACTTGTTTGAGCGATCATTTGTGATCGCCAGGTCGCTCCCAGAAAAGCTCAGTGGGCCTTACCTGGTAAAATAAAATAAATACTCGATAGTTATTCATCTGTGTGGTTATATATCAGGGTTGTTGAAGTGGTGTTTCTAGAATTACCGGTAACCGCTTTGCCAAAACCGTTTTTTTTCAATCCGGTTACCTGTGGTGCAAAAAAAAACCCTCCGATTTTAATAACCCGAGTGGAATGTGCCAACAGCACTGTTAAAAATTTACATTCAATATAAAAATTAGTCTGTAGACCTAAAACTGATTTCTTAACAACTGCTTTGTTACGTACGGTGCCAAAGAAGTCCAACACAGATCAACACACATACGTAGTAGACACGTGTGATTACTGACGGGTTTGTTTGCTACCAGATGCTTACGATTGAGTAACTATTCATGCACATTAAAACAAAAAAACTATTTATTTACATAATTAGTTCTCATGAGAGTCACAAGGGGCATAGAGTGGTGCAGTATCCAACTATTATTATCCATCTCTCATCTCTCTGGCCTCTCTATGAACTATGTCGTAGGGCCATTGCCCGAAACGTCGACGACTACGGTGTTTTTTTTCCCCATTAAGGCCAACGCGCGTGTTGATTTTCCCGGTGGACATCGCGTGGTTGTGTGTCGCCCCCTCGTGGCCACAGGAATTATAAACATCGGTGCGAGGACCCCACCGCCGGTGGGAGATGGAGCGACGATTTATTACCTCGCAGGATCGCCACCGTTGCCGGCGATTTGGGTAGAGAGGCCTTCATCCAGCAGTGGATTGACCACGGCTGATGATGAAGCTTGTCTGTTGAGGCCTCCATCCAGCAGTGGATTGACCACGGCTGATGATGAAGCTGGTCTGTTGAGGCCTCCATCCAGCAGTGGATTGACCACGGCTGATGATGAAGCTGGTCTGTTGAGGCCTCCATCCAGCAGTGGATTGACCACGGCTGATGATGATGAATCGTTGTGACATTGGTCGGCTCAGGCTGGTTAGGAATTACGGATTTATCTCAAAATATACTGTAAGCAATGTCTCCATATATCACTCGCAAAAAATAAAACGTTGTTACAATTGTCTGTTATTTATATTCTCCATAACTCCACCCATGATTGTGCTGAGTTACGTACTGTTTTCTTTCCATAACAGTATAAATACATTTGGAGAGAATTGGGACTCCCATCGCGTACAGGGACGGTGCGTGCCTGATTCGAGCGAGCCTGACTGCTGATGTGACATTGAGTGTTGAAACCCGTCCAGGGGTTTTTGCTTGTATTTAATCAATGCTGCTGAAATTGTGCCACGTACAGAAGGCAGTGGGCCTGATGGGCTGTGCAAACACATACTTGTAATTTCTTTGGTTCTTTCGGTAAAGTCACGTAGAATGAGAATAAAATAATAAATTGATAAAATAACACAATCAAATTATCTCGCTCCAGCGCTGTCCTCCAGACAGTCTCGTCCCTTCACCTGATGAAGGCCGCTTGTGTTGTGGCCGAAACGTCGTGATAATTTTATTGTGTTATTTTATTTTATCAATTTATTATTTTATTCTCATTCTACGTGACTTTACCGAAAGAACCAAAGAAGATTAATCCTTGCAGTCACGAAAGCTTTAAATCGAAACACACTTGTATTCATTAATGGATTAAGAAAATGTATTAGCAGCTTATTTATATTGTTATTTACGTGTTCTAATTATAGAAACTCATTAATTTAGAACCGCTTACTGTGTTTAGTTTGTTGCCCTTCCCCCGCACCTCCGATTAGCGCGCTTGGCTACGCACGGTGCGAAAGAAGTTCAACATACTTACAGAAAGGCAAAGTCATATTTCCTGGACATGTAACGATTACAACAAGGGACTGAGTTTGCACGGAGTTTGACTGGGAACATTGAATGTGCCCCCCCCCCCCAAAAAAAAAAACCCGCGGAAGTCACGATCGCCGGCACATGTGAGAGGTGGGCACGTCTGACATCGAGAGACGTTCGTGTTCTCTACAGCAGTGGTTCTCAGAGTGCGGTCCCCAGACCCACCCCATCCCAGGTTGGTCCACGGTGGCTGTGATGCAGACGGTCACGTGTTTTTACATCTTCTGTTTCGGACATTAACATTTTACTCGTGATATTTAATTAATGCAAACGATTGATAGGTAAACTACCCTGATTTAAACTTGCCGAACCCTAAGATTTAAATATTCCCCCCCACCTATTTAAAAAGAAAAATTCCGGTTATATGATTAATGTTGTCTGACTGCGCTGGTATTTCGAGAGAGAGGGAAGTGAATGCGTTTTACATTATGAGACCTCCATTGCCAGTAACAAGATATAGGAATAGGTTTTACCCTTTTAACTGAGTTGTACGCCTTATGGCGTCTTCTGGTCCAACACCAGTGGAGACTAGGCTCTAAGAAAAGCCGTCTCGGGAGTGGACCAATCAAATTCAAGGACAGTGCATATTATTATTATCAGAGTTGTCTTTTTTTGTTTGCATTTTGACTGCTTGTGTTGTGGTTATTGCAAATATGATGCCTTGAATAAAGGTGTCAGTTTTTGTGCCAGTTAAAAGGGTAAAACCTATTCCTGAATGCGTTTCGTCACGAGGGGCGAGGACTCCGGGTATTCTGGGTGACTCGGCGGAAAATGTGGTGCGTCGGCTGAGTGGCCCGCGGGGCCTGAACAAGCTTGAGAAACGACCGGCGACGTACGGCGCGAAAGAAGTGCGACACTCAGCAAACCACGCGCGCCACCACACACTGAGCTGGACAATCTCAGGAAGCGTGGTGGTTGCTGGTGCCACCAGAGGACGCTAGGAGGCCGACAGGCGGAGCCGTGCTGGTGATGATGATGCTGCTGCTGCTGCTGTTGCATGGTTCGCCCACGTGGTTTTTTCGAGGGTTTGTAACCATGAGCCCACCCCAGGGGCCGGATTCAGGCACGGGGCTTTAGGGGCCGTCCATTAATGACGTCACGCGATTTAGGACGATTTTTGACCCCCCCCTTAGTCACACGGCGTCACAAAAGTTAGACCCCCCCATCAAATATGACGTCACAAAGCTCTGCCCCTACCCCCCCATGAATGTTTTTTAACATGCTTCAAATCGCTTTAAACTATTGTCACTGTAGTGCGTATTTAATGCGGCGCTGCACTCTGATGTTGTAAGAGAAAATATTTATTAAAAAGTATTTAAGTAGAACGTGTTGTCTATATGTATTTAAAGTTGCGCATTTTGATGTGACGTCACATTTCTCACCCCCCCCCCCTCTCGTCACACATCGTCACAAATGTCTGACCCCCCCCCCCTAGGTGCGTGACGTCATTTAGGGCTTCCTGAGATGAAGTGAAAAGTTACTTTACTTGTGAATGATGAATTGTATTCGTTGTTAGCCTTGTAAAAATATTTTTTTTTCTTTAACTTTGTTTCCTTTTGAAAATATTACTGGGGGGCTCACAGTACCTGTAGCCCCAGGGGTCTACACAATCTTAATCCGGCCCTGAACCCACCGCGTGCTTAGTTTCGGCAACGGTGGCCGACGTTTCGCGCCCACCCCCCTCCCTCCCTCCTAACTCCCTCCCACTGCGGCATTTTCTTACGAAGTTCCTCCGACTTCTTCGAGGTGATCGAATGAAGTGTTCGCGAAACGTCGGACACTCGCGGGGCTATGTAAATACCCCCCCTCCACTCCCAGATCACGCCGTCAAGTGCCAAGACATCAGCGCGTCACCGCTACGTCGACGAAGCTCCCATTCTGTCGGGGCGCGACAAGAGTTGTGACCGTCTGCGCGAATTTGATACT